GCAGCAGAAGGCACACACCATGAGGCACCCTGTGGTTCTTCCTCCACGACCATGGAGAGAACATGAGGAGGTGGGATGGACAGCCCACTGCCGCCCTAGCAGCATGAGTAGAGCAGCTGAAAGGGAAGACAATCACAAAAGGGGAGTCCTCCAAGAAAAGTGCAGCTCCAGTGTCCAGTCAGAAATACCCCAGACAGAATAGAATGGCCAACGTTATGTCTGACCATCTTGAGGGGACCAGTAAATCATTCTTACAAGAAGTGAGTGATGATGTGCAGGATTAGAGGGGCCCTGCCTCCAGCCAGGTGGAGGAAAGGGATAATGGGATTTACTGGACAGTGTGGATCCGATGGCCTGGCACGTCAGACCACAAGAGTATAAGGCTTTGGTGGACACTGGCACACAGTGCACCCTGATGCCATCGAGCTCCAGTGGGGTTGAATCCATCTGCATCTCTGGAGTGACAGGGGGATCCCAACAGCTGACCCTACTGGAAGCTGAAGTGAGCCTGACTGGGAAGGACTGGCATAAGCACCCCACTGTGACTGGCCCAGATGCCCCGTGCATCCTGGGCACAGACTATCTCAGGAGAGGGCACTTCAAAGACCCAAAAGGGGACCGGTGGGCTTTTGGTGTAGCTGCCCTGGAGGAGGTTGAACAGTTGTCCACCTTACCCGGCCTCTCAGAGGATCCCTCAGTGGTGGGGCGGCTTAAGGTTGAGGAGCAGCGAGTGCCGATTGCTACCAGGACGGTACACCGGCGGCAGTACCACACCAACCGAGATTCCCTGGTCCCCATCCATCAGCTGATCCATCAACTAAAAAGCCAGAAGGTGATCAGCAAAACTCACTCACCCTTCAACAGCCCTGTATGGCCAGTGAGAAAGCCTAATGGTGAATGGAGGCTGACTGTGGACTACCATGGCCTGAATGAAGTTACGCCAGCAATGAGTGCTGCAGTGCCGGACATGCTAGAGCTCCAGTATGAACTGGAGTCGAAGGCAGCCAAGTGGTACGCCACGACTGACATTGCTAACGCATTCTTCTCCATTCCGATAGCGCCAGAGTGCAGGCCACAGTTTGTGTTCACTTGGAGAGGCATCCAGGACACCTGGAATCGATTGCCCCAGGGGTGGAACCACAGCTCCACCATTTGCCATGGACTGGTCCATACTGCACTGGAGAGAGGTGGGGCTCCAGAACACCTGCACTACATTGATGACATCATTGTATGGTGGAACACAGCCGAGGAAATCTTTGAGAAAGGGAAGAAGATAACTGAAATCCTCCTGAAGGCCGGCTTTGCCATTAAGCAAAAGAAAGTCAAGGGGCCTGCAAGGAAATTCAATTCCTAGGGATAAAATGGCAAGATGGGTGTCGCCACATCCCAATGGAGATGATAAACAAGATCACAGCCATGGCCCCACCAACCTCTAAAAAGGAGACTCAGTCTTTCCTGGGGGGCACTGTGGGGTTCTGGAAGATGCACATCCTGAACTACAGCCTGATTGTGAGCCCTCTCTACCATGTAACCTGTAAGAAGAACGATTTTGAATGGGGCCCTGAGCAACAACAATCCTTTGAACAGATTAAAGGGGAGATTGCCCAAGCAGTAGCCCTCGGGCCAGTCTGGGGAGGGCAGGAGGTTAAGAACATGCTCTACACTGCAGCCGGGGAGAACGGCCCTACCTGGAGCCTCTGGCAGAGAGCACCTGGGGAGACCCGAGGCCAACCTCTGGGCTTTTGGAGCCGGGGATACAAAGGCTCTGAAGCTAATTACACACCAACTGAGAAGGAGATACTGGCAGCGTACGAAGGAGTTCGGGCTGCCTCAGAAGTGGTCGGCACTGAAACACAGCTCCTCCTGGCACCCCAACTGCCGGTGCTGGGGTGGATGTTCAAAGGAAAAGCCTCCTCCATGCATCATGCAACAGATGCCACGTGGAGTAAATGGGTTGCGTTGATAACACAACGGGCTCGAATAGGGAACCCCAGCTGCCCAGGGATACTAGAGGTGATCACGAACTGGCCAGAAAGCAAAGGTTCCGGGATGTCACCAGAACAGGAGGTGACACGTGCTAAGGAGGCCCCACCATATAACGAGCTGCCGGATGAGGAGAAGCGATATGCCCTGTTCACTGATGGGTCTTGTCGCGTTGTGGGAAAACATCAACAGTGGAAGGCTGCTGTATGGAGTCCTACACGACGAGTCACTGAAGCTGCTGAGGGACAGGGGGAATCGAGCCAGTTTGCAGAGGTGAAAGCCATCCAGCTTGCTTTGGATATTGCTGAGTGGGAAAAGTGGCCAAGGCTCTATCTCTACACCGACTCGTGGGCAGTGGCGAATACCCTGTGGAAATGGCTGCAGCAATGGAAGCAGAACAACTGGCAACGTAAGGGTAAAACCGTCTGGGCTGCTGAAGTATGGCAGGACATTGCAGCCCGGGTGGAAAACCTCGTTGTGAAGGTGCGCCATGTGGATGCCCATGTACCCAGGAGTCGGGCCACTGATGAACATCGACACAACCAGCAGGCAGACCAAGCTGCTAAGATCAGAGTGGCTCAGGTGGACTTGGACTGGCAGCGCAAAGGTGAACTGTTCATAGCCCGGTGGGCCCATGAGACCTCGGGCCACCAAGGTAGGGATGCAACATACAGGTGGGCTCGAGATCGAGGGGTGGACCTCACCATTGACACCATTGCAGAGATCATCCATGGATGATCCACGTGTGCTGCAATCAAACATGCCAAGCAGGTGAAGCCCCAGCGAAATGGAGAGCGATGGCTGAAATATAGATATGGAGAGGCCTGGCAGATCGACGACATCACACTGCCACAGACCCGCCACAGGAAGCGCCATGTGCTCACAATGGTGGAAGTAACCTCTGGGTGGCTGGAATCTCACCCAGAGCCCCACACCACTGCCCGGAACACCATCCTGGGCCTTGAAACCCAAGTCCTGTGGCGACACGGCACCCCGGAGAGAATTGAGTCAGACAACGGGACCCACTTCCGAAACAACCTCATAAATGCCTGGGCAGAAGAACACGGCATCGAGTGGGTCTGCCATATCCCCTACCATGCACCAGCCTCTGGGAAGATCGAGCGCTACAATGGACTGTTAAAAACCACATTGAAAGCACTGGGAGGTGGGACCTTCAAAGACTGGGACATGCATCTAGCAAAGGCCACCTGGCTAGTCAACACAAGAGGATCAGCCTGTCGAGCTGGCCCGGCTCAGTCGAGACCTCCACGTGCTGTAGTTGGGGATAAAGTTCCTGTGGTGCGCATGAGGAATATGTTGGGAAAAATGGTCTGGTTTAGTCCTGCGCCAGGCAAAGGTAAAGGCAAACCCATCCACGGGATTGCTTTTGCCCAGGGACCTGGGTGCACCTGGTGGGTGATGCAGGACAATGGAGAGGTCCGATGTGTACCACAGGGGGACTTGATTCTGGGTGAGAACATGCCGTGAATTATGCTGTGCCTGTGTAAATTATTACTTTGTTATTGTTAACAGCTAAATGGCAGCTGGACATGACGCAGATGGTATAGAATAAAGGGGTGGATTATGTCCTGGTTCAGCCAGGATAAAGTTTTCCCCAGCAGAGAGAGAGGGGGAAGGGATCTCTAGCCAGGTTATTCATACCATGCTGATGTCAAGTCCAGGGGCGGAACTTTTTTACTGGCTCTTTGGCGGGAACCTGTTTCCATGACCATTTGCGGTATTTCTCTGTATATCTTTTGTCTTGTTCACTGTTATTGTTGTTTATTGTCGTTATTGCCACTGTTGTTTTTCAGACTGTTTATCACACTGTTGTATTAAATTTCTTCTTATTTTAACCCGAGTTTGTGCCTCACTGCCAGCCCGACCGGCTGAGGGTGGGGGAGAGACAACAGCAACATGCTCTCTGGTCCCGGCAGGGCTTAAACTACATTTGCTTTCCCCAGTTAACAGAGAAAGGTCAATTTTTCCTCATTTTTAATGCAAGCTAGTAGGCATAAGTCTTGGTTAAATCGTGAAGACTTCAGGTTTGGGTGTTTTGTGGTTTTGAAGGTCAATATTATGTTTGCTTCCCCTCTCTTCCCAGAAGAGTAGTCCTAAACTGAGTTTTTATATATATAAGTTTTTTTAAATGTAGTTGTAGCTGCTTCAGAGCTTCTTGATTTGCAGCCCAGCAAGGAACAATGGGGTTTACTCTGAGATGCTAGGGCAAAGACAAGCTCTCCCCTGCTCTATGACCAACTGTTGAACAGCGTGGGGAGGAACAATTGCTCCATACCAGAAGGGTTACTACAGCAGCGACATCCTAAGAGGAGGTGTCAAGCCGGTGGACCCCCATCAGCAATGAGGCAGCCCAGGAGCTGATGGCTCTTGACCTCCAGGGAGATGTGGGCTGTCCACCCACAGTGAGTAGCAGTTTCCATCTGGGCTCTGCTCCCTGGACAGCCCTTCCCCTTGCCCCAGCTGACCCCCTCTCTAAGCCAAGGTCCATGGGGTCTGGCCCCTGGGTTGTGCAGGCCAAGCCCACCACTGCTCACCTGAGCCAAGCACAGCAGGGCTGCACAAAGGCCTGTTCCCCACAGCCTGAAAACACCTGGTCATGTACAGTTTCTACAGGAGTGCAAACAGGGCAAGCATGGTACAAAACTACCTTGGAAAATCTGGATCATCATTAAAGTAACTCACAAACCAAAAATGCTTAACACACTGTGGTGCTATCACAGAAAGATTTTACCAGTTACAGTAAGTAATACCCACAAAAATAAGGGTTCTAGAAGTGCTTGAATGTTGCAGGGGTCAAACTTAGTGTGCAGGTGTCATGTGAGAAACTAAAACCTACAGAGTAACACTGCTGCAACACATCCACCCTCTAACTGAGCGCAACCCAATCTCAAACAGGCAAGGTCATGGTATGAAAGTAGTGCCCAGCTGAAACAAAGCATGTTTCTGTTTGCAGAGTATACTTACTATTTTTAAAGCATGACTACTCCAAAAATATCCAGGATATAAGAGACGTTGTATTTTTCACAGACAAATTTTAGTTACAGATCTCTAGAACTTGTAAGAATACAGAATTTCAAATCAGTGCAAAACGTACAATCAAATTAAACACAAAACACATATTGCAATATATATACAGAACTGTTATAACAACATTACCCAAGGACAAACATATGTTCAAATAGAAGAGAGAAGTCCATCTTTTATAAATTACTATTTTAAAACCAATTAGTACACTAGGTATGTTATTTGCAGACAAGTTGCCACAGCATGGTGATTTGCAAGGCAGACACTGAGAAACAAGTTACATCGTTTAAAAGCTTGTTTCTGAGACCAATCCACAAGTGAAGGTGTGATAATGCATTACTGGTTTGAGACACACAAGGTGGAAACAGTTTTCAACCACTTCAATGCTTATACTTAGGCTTTTTTTCTTTCTGAGAATTATTAAGCAGACACACAAAGAATAAGCACTAGACTAACTGAACTGTTCAATGGTCAGTTTACCTTAGCTTGTGGGGCCAAGATGATTTATTACCAATGTATTAGAACATTCACAAGAAATGCTATAAGACATCTTAAGAGTATCTTCATATTAAAATAGTATTCATATAGCGGTTTGAAGTTGGATGATTTAAATAACCAGAGCTGAGATACAGTTATTTAAGCAATAGTCAAGCCACACTTCAAGAAAAATTAAGATGTCATGGGTGGTTCATAAGTAGGAGGGACACAAATCTATAGCAAATTACAAACTCTGTGATGCATTGCATTCAAAGCAGAGATGCTCCCTTCCAATAACCAGAACTTGCAGCTTCAAGGTATTGATTGCTACTATCTACATAATTGCTAATTAAACTATCCCAAGGATAATTTGCTTTTGGCATGTACAGAAAGCTAGAGTTAAAACAGCTATTGCTATGCTACAGATCCCCAGAATTTTGCTTTAAAATAGTAGTTAGTGAAGGCTTTGTAAGCACCTAAAATTACACAATAAATAGCAATTCTTCAAGCACCTCTTGCTACCCGATTTGGCAAGATCAGCAGCACAAAGTAATGGATGCCATGGCAAGGCATGCTGCTAACCGTTTGACACAGGCACATGTCAATTTGTACCTTCCTTCCTTCAACAAGCAAAAGGACTAATGTGTGGCACACCCTGCAGAGAGTGAGAGGACTAGAAGTGCCAAACAGTCACCAGGCTCATAACATTGCTTGCAGTCAAGCACAAGGCTGGGCTCTTTGCACTTTAACCTGCAGTGATTTGCACGGGGTAAAAGTTCCACTTTTTACAGCTGATGTTTATATCAGGAGTTGCTGACAGAAGTGTAACAAAGGATATGCACAATATAAATGAGGCCACATCTTCTGAAATTGTCTCCTAAATAACACACTTGAGCTGTGCATTGACATGTTAAATGGGTGTGTTGCTAGTGTCCTATGAAAAAATACTTTGCTTTGGGATACATCTTTAATATCTACACACATTTATTTCAGGACTTCCCACCAACTTTTTCAACAACACTGCTCTGCTTATAAAACATTCTCATAAATTATCTTCACAAAAAATAAAGTCAATCTTTCAGAAAACATGTTCAATACAACATTTGTATCAGTAGAAATTCTGTCCTATGAGTCCATGGCAGAAAGGCCATCATCTGCATTTAAATCTCACTGAAGGGACATCACCAGGAATCTAATCCAGAAGGCAACTGTTTCATTAATTGTCACGGGAAGCAGAAACAATGCAGAAACACAGAAAGAGTGCACTGTTTCAACCAACGTGCATGGGTTTACAATCAATAGTCGCTGTCCTGTAAACATTGAGACTGCTGGTCTAACTGCAGGTTAAGATTAGTAATTTGCATTCATTTCACTGTGTTCCACACATACAATGACTACACTGCTAAAAAAAAAAAAATACATTAAATAGCAAAAGGAACAAAGGCTTTGAGCTGGATCTCTCCTACAAGCCAAGTGTCAAATCAGTAAATGTTTACATTATAAATAAAACTTTAACATTACTTTTATGCATTATAAAATCAGTCTATTAAACATAAATCTTAAAATAGCAGCCAATTTGTAATTGTTTAAAAATATATATGAACTTTCAGTCAGCCAGCTATAAATACATACTGTGATGGGAAGAAGATATAATTTCTCACTCCCAAGGAGGCTTTCAAGAACACGGTATTAGAGATGGATAGGGACCAAGGGAAGCTGCAGTAAGAGAAACTCTGAAACAGTTGTATTCTACAAACTTGTTTTCATCATTACCTGAAAGTGCATCTTTGCATCTGTAGAATCATCCCCATATGTACAAAAAAGTACAAACATTACAACTTTGCCACACCCTAAGCCCATCTAACTTGCATTTTCTGTTACGTGCAAAAAGTGTATGAAGTGATACATGCACTGCTGGATAAAAGGATTCACTATGGGATTTAAGGGACTACAGGATAAAAGCCTGAAAATGAGGCAATGTTATCACCATGAATCCAAGGTAGTTCAATAGTTGCTGAGTCTTTGCTCCACAGCTGTTAAATAGATGAAGTAGAAATTAACGAACAGTTTAAGCCCAATAGCCAAAGCTCTGTTTTAGAGCAGGGTCTCCATTCCCCTGCTCTCCACACACATTCTCCACATTCTCCACATACTGGTGCTTCTGTTACCAGTTTCGGTATAAATACTGGGCCCAAAGGGCAAGAAAAGCAGCCTAGCAGAAGAGGAAAATGCACAGTTACTATGAAGGCTCCAAGGAAGAGGTGTTGAGGTGCAGGCTGAAACAGAGTATCTACTGCCAGGTATCTCAGTTCCCACTGCAATGCACCCCCGGTTTCAGGGCTGAAGCATGGACTGGCAGCAGTATGCGACGCAGGCCACACCTGCACACACAGACAGTATGTTATAAAATACCCATGCAGCTGAATCTGTTGTGTCTTCAACATACGTCCTTTTTAAGTGTCACAACAGCTCTCTTACCTTCTCTTCCCACAAAATGAAGCTTCATTTGACAATGATACATTTATATGCCAAAAGACTGTTGCAGAGTAATGTGCAGGTGTGAATGCTTACAGATTCCAAACAGCTGATATTTAAAACAAGTACATTATTTGCTCTTTAAAGAAATACAATCTGTACAACACTTGTAAGAGGTAAGAAGATTAATGAACAACTGACTATAACAGTTCCTTATTTATGTCTTGCAGTAGACTATGCTACAGCTTCTTGTAGTTTTTAAAATGCTGCAATAGCCATTGCCATTGATTTAGACATAAAGAGGCTTGATTAATATATAGAAAGAGCAAGAGGACCTCAAACTGTACACATGCAGAGACTATACACTAAACACAGTTGTGCTTTTGCTATATTGCCATTCCCTTAGAAACATGTGGAACCAGTAGGAAAGTACACTCTACCTCCTGTCCAAAACTGGTGACTGAAAGATCCAGAAGCAAGTGCTATCAGAACATTGTAATGCAGCAAAAGCTGTAGAAGTAGGCACTGAGAAAGGAAATACAATAAAGCCTATTTTTAAAGGGTGTGTACATATGTATGTATACACATATATGTACATAGACACACATATATAAATAAACAAAATTTTTTTTGCAAAATAACAGTTTAATTTAAAAATCAATGCATTCAAAACATGAGAAGTTTAAATTATACACATCAAGTGTAAAAGTCATGGGGAAAAAGCAGCAAAGTTTCTGAAGTAGCACCTGTATCTCAGTGATGAGCTTTTGAATTTTGGTTCTCCTAATTCAAGACAGAGGTAATGTGTTTACCCATCAAAACAGATTTTAACCAACTGATCACCTTCTCTGGTCTGCAATAGTGGGGCATTTGAAATACACCATGATGTTCAGGACCTTTCTCACTCCCATGCTGGCAAAGTCTAGTAGGACACTAGTAAAAGGTCAGGAATGTGTAACCCAGCAGGACATATGCTATCTGTGCCTGCCATGGCTTACAGGCAAGGTAAAAAGTCAGGGCAGTGGAGAGAGGATGAAGGAATGTGCTCAGCATAGCAATGAGCCTGCATTTCTTCCCTGTCTATAAATTATGGTTCCTGGTTCTGCATCCCTGATGTTGATTAACACCTGTTTTGACAGAACCGAGCCTCTTCCCCAACATTTTTGTTACTGCATTATTTAAAGCACTTGGCCATATGATCACAAGGTTCTCACATAATGTTACTTGAACGCTCAGTGCCGAGAATAATTTATCTGCTCGCTATCATGTAAATTATACTGCATTGTTTTGTTCAAAGGAAAGGCTAAGTCAAAATGTTTCATATTAACTACAGAGTTATCTCCTCTTCAAGGAAGTCTTATATACTATGGAAAAAAATACTTCTCACATACTGTGCGTGATGCAAATGTCAAAAAAAAACCCCAAACTTGATGTACTGGCCTTTACAGTACCTGAAACTGACACATCTTAATAGAGGGGTTAAATAGTAAGTTTCTCCTTTTAAAAGCTTGACAGGAGCCTTCCTATCTCAACTGCCCAGAAATCTGTTTTGTCTTCTAAGCATTATTTTATGATGCACAAAGGCTTTAAATGCCAAGGGTGTTTTTCTTAAGATACGTTTTCATTTCAGTGTGTCACTCATCTGCTCAAACTACATGTTGGAGTTTTTTTTCTGGAAAAAAAAAAAAAAAAGGGAATGAAAAAAAAAACCTCAAAACCCTCCTGTCCTCCACCTCTGGCAGTTGTGAGAACACATTTGTACTTCTGTGCCACGCTGCTACCACGATGCTATCCCTGAGACATACTTGGCTCATACAGTGTTCCAGGGATGGAAAATTCCCATGGAAGGATATGCCCCAGTAAAGGGCCCTCTTATTAAAATACTGTGACCCCACAGTTTCATGTTATTTCAGGTAACAGATGCTAAGAAACAGGGAGAAACAGCCATGCCCTTAATGAGCCATGAACATGAAACACTCTGTCAGCTGCATGCTGCAGGATTATCTGTATCTGGAAGAATAGTAAGACAGGTTTATTTACTTGGGCTGCAGAAGATGGTCAGTACCAGCAAGCTTAAAGCTTATGCATGTCTTCTATAACGAAAAGTCAAGTTTTAGTGTCAGAACACTAAGAACAGAAGGAATCACTGGACAGGAAGGAGAGGCTGCAGGCGGCTGCCACTTTTGCACAGCTGTTTTGCCTCTGTTTATAGCTTTAGCTGTATCATTCTGTTGCTATAGATTACTGTCTCGCAGCATCCACATTCACACCCTCATCTGCACCATGATTGGGGAGTAGAAAGTGCAGGTAATGCTCAGATGTTGCTGAAGCTGGCACAGTGCTCAGAGTACGAACTGATCAAAAAGACCCAGCAAGAACTGCCTCAGCATGTAGCTGGCTCCAACACAAAACGGCTTTTGTATATTTCAGTTACACTGAAGTCCCCTGAAGCAGCTGCAGATGTTTTTCTAGACACAGTGGCAAGAGGAACGCTCCTAAATGAATTCATCACTCAAGTGGCACGTCATCCATAGCCGTATTAGTTATTATCGTGCAATAGGGGACAAGTAAGCCCACTGGCTAGCTAAATGGGCTCTGGCCAACATGGCTTAAGTAGCTCCAAGCAGCAGGTGCATACAAGTTGCAAAACCATGCAGCTCCCCTGCACCACAGCTGGCTCAGAGGGCCCCTTGTGTATGACACTGATCTGAAGTGGAAGGTTCAGTCACCAGAGAACCATGGTCAGATGAGACCAGCAGAGATGTGAGTGAAGACCAACACAACTACAGCTACAGACAGCAGATATGTGTAGTGTATGACTGGACCAGCATGTCTGCTCTAGCACCAATCTCTAGCAGGAAGCTGTAAAAGAAGTACTGGATCCCCATATCTTCAGCAGATGGGTAAGCACAGAGAGGTGATCTTGGTCTCATTGGAGCTGACAGAGGAACAGCCTCTGAAGATCAGACACTCATCTAAGTGAGAAAGACAGTCACTTCTGTTCTTGGAGCCATGCCTGGTAACAACAGCCACCAAGGACTTGAGAAGGCTGACCAGCTAAGTGAGTTTTCATGACAGCTATCACATTCCCAGCTACCTGAAGCCCACAGCATGTTACATGCACACTACAGGCTTCAACACCTCCTAAGGCTCCTCAGTGAAACTACACTGTACTTCAGCTCTAAATAGGACTGTGCTAATCTACTTATGTGAACATTAATTAGTGGTGATTCTTTTAGTCTTTGAGCTTGCTGTTAAATAACAGTCCAGCTGTGACAAATTAATGAAAACGAAACAGCACAAGTAAAGACAAGATGAAAAGTCTGGTGTCAAAGAAAAAAAATACAGTGTAATACTGCCTTGGGTATTCTCGTTCTTTTTTTACATTAGAGGGGTAGTTGCTGAAATTCAAGCGTCTTTTAAAACAGGCTTTGGCTGAATAAATAGGAGAAACTAAGCTGCACTTGATAACTTGCCCTACAAGCTGTTTCCCCTCCATTTATATTGTCCAAATACTGTTGAAGTAAACTCTCTGAAATGTTTTGACTCAACTGTTCTTGTACTTTCTCTCCTCCTAGTGCACTGGGCTCCTTTTATAGAAATTATTTCTCCTGTGTTTTGTATTCTTCTCTTAATGGTAGTGCTGTTTCAGCTGTGCTATTTGGACTGATCTGAGTTCTCAGCAGCTCATGTCTTTGTGTTTTTTTTGTTGGGAGGCTACTGTGAGCATTATTTTAAAGGAGCACATTTTCATTTATGGAACAATGCACCAAAGTTTATCTATGGAATGATTTTCTTTAAGAAAAAGCTGGGAGGAGGGGAAGAGTCTTTGTGAAGATGCAGAAATCTCAGCATTTTGGAATCTCTGTTTGGCCTCAGTTTCTATATACGTGAAAAACCAGGAAATGGCTTACGGAAAAGCAACCCAAAGTAAACATTTCAGATGAGACAAGTAGTACATAACAGTTATTTGTCACAACGAGGCACTGTCTTTGAAAGACGAAGTAGAACCCAGTACTATCAAAACACAATGAAAGGCACACTCATCAGCAACCCTCTTCACCAGTTGTCTGCACTCAGTTTTTACTGAACCATCTTGGTATCTACAGTAGGTACGCTGTAGCACTTCTGAGCACAGCTCTCCACTTAGCGTCCTCCTTCAGAAACTGAAACGCTATCCACTCTCATCTCTCTCAGGCTTCCAGTTTTTTTCTGCTTCTGCTTGGATTTTTTCAACATATGGACCTAAACCAGAAAGTTTTAAGAGAAAGTGAGTATTAAAATATCTGTAGTCACCTGTAAGCAGACCTAAGGCAACTAACTACTAAACAAGTAAATTGTTGGAACTACAACAGAAAAACATTTAAATACACAACTATCTGAAGCACCTATCCTTATAAAGCTATAGGATTAACAGCTTTTTTTACATAAACATATATACACATGTATGTATATGTATATAGATGTATAAGGATAGGTATGTGTGTGCATATATATTCATGTACACACATATACATACACATATATACAGATGACACTATTGGTCACTAACCTGATAGAAAGATAGAAATATTTCTCACTGGAAGGACAAGTTAGGTTTGTTCTCTCTCTCTTTCTCTTTTTCCCCCTTTCTCTCAGGAAAAGAATAAAGTTTAACATATTCCAAAACATCTGAGGTATCACCCTCTTTTTCACCCATTTTTCCTCTGCAGGGGCCATTGTTCTGGTAGCCCTTCCGGTAGGGCTACATATTCTCCAAGATTGCCTGTAGCAACAAATTTCTGTGAGTTAAAAAGGGATACTTAAGGTAGCAGACAAATGTGTAGACTGGTGTGCATGACAGTCAAGTACTGCAAAATGTTTATTTCACAGTTTCAATGTCAATAGAGAAGTTAAATTCTTAGGTAGCTGATGCTCTTTTCCTCCTACATATACATTGAGATATCAATGAAAAACACACACTGATTACTCCAAAGTCTCTTTTGCTCAGACCTTCCTCCTCCATTATTCAGTTTTCTCCTTTGCTGCTCTCTGACGGACCTTCCCTCCTCCAGCACTGTCAGCAGATTGCTTCCTACCTTGCACACTGCAGCACTACCATCACCCTCATAACTGTGATCTGCTTCAGGGCAAGCAACACTGTCTGGAGATCTCAATACAGGGGAAAAAATTAAATCACTAGGCTGAAGCTCAGGGACTACATTTTTAAACACAAGCCTCACCTGAGCCCGTGGAAAGGGCCCTCAAACCATCCTCTGTAGAAACGGCTATGTGTTTATCCAACAGTTATCACACCACGCCAACTAGCTCCTTTAAAGTTAAACATTAGAACACAACAGACAAGCAATATAATATGGTAATACCCACTGGAGAAACAAAGTCAACTTGCTAAGAGAGACCTACAGCCAGTACCTTTGGTCCTGCAGCAGAAATAATAATCTGGCCAGGGGCCTGTATCCAGGGCTCTCCATCAACTTGAACTGGAATTGGCTTTAGGAGGGTTACACGAAAATATGAGCCTTGGGCTATGCGAATTCCTGATCGAAAACCACCTTGGACTTGACCCTGTTAGGAAGTAAAAGCCAGGATATCAATCACCCCCATAAAGAAGGAGCACAAATATTAGCTACACTTAAAGTGGATGGATAGAATTTTATTCTCACCCAGCATTTTAAGTTTCAAGTAAAAGAACTTCTTAGACAAAATCTGCATAGGATGCCTTTACTGATGCAGCATTAATTATTTAAGTTAGTGCATAAAGAAGAACTCAGACACCCTTGCAGGCTGCCAGAGCCAAAATAACTTACACAGTGAAGTAATTTGTACACTCAGGTTGGCCAAAGAGCATGCACTCACAAAGGTTTTGTTTGCTTTTACCCTCCCCCTCCATAATATAGTAAACACATTTTCAAAACACCTAACTATGCACACAGACACATATGAAACTCAAAAGTCTAAAAACACTTTATCAAACAGGGAGAGAGAATTTTGCCAAACTCAACTACATATATTCAACTACAGCTAGCAGCTGTTGACTGTAAAAAATGAAGCAAAGTGAACTTTGCAGCTACATGTTCTCTTGGGGAAAGTGTACAGACACCAAACATGGAGGTAAAAACCTTAACAGAAGATAACAAAACCAGAGCACAGGTTTGTTAGCATCTATATTCCAAATCAATAGGTACAATCCTTGTTGCTTCTAACATCACAAAAATTTTAAGGATCTCTCCCAAACCACTTCTTTCAATGGAATGTTTTGTATTTGTCTTCCTTAAAAGATCTAAATTACAAAACAGTAAAGTTGGCCAATACCAAAGGTTGAGCTGCACAATTTCAAGCACCCACCTTTCCTTCGTGGTTGTATGGATTATTTGTCACAGTTACCTGACCACTAATACTTCTTCAGCAGCAGATTTCATAAGACAGTGAAATATGAAGACAAAAATAACGCACTATCTTACAGGACTGCATTGCTAATAGCAGGCCATTGTAAAAATATCTAATACATGGAAGAATTAAAGTTACACAAATTGAGTCACAATATTCTTTGCAGAACTGGCATACCATCTGCTTCACATAGCATTTGGATCAAGAGCAGGTAGCATCAGATTCTCAGAGACAGGTGTTAGGAAGCCTGTGGCAGATAAATATAAAGCCACCTGTCTGCCCTGATTGTGATAAGGTATGACAAGATTTTTCACAAATACACTATCTAAGTGAAGAGTGGGTGTTTCTGAAATATTAAAATAAAATCTTATTTTAATGCCATGAACTGTTTGGTTTTGACACCATGATATCTGTTATGAGAATGCTAGTGCATTCCATAATATATATATATATATATATATATATATATATATTTGCATTTCACATATATGTATACATATATGTTTCTGGCCTTGGTTCAAAGCCTACTGAAGCCATGAAGCACTTCTCTCTGCACTTTTAACAAGTTCGTCATACTCCTATTACTTCTTCATATCCAATCACAGGTTTCTTCAGTTTCCATTCCATCTTTTTTCAGTTTCTATTCCATCTTTCATAGTCTGGCACCTAAATATGGATCTTCAGGCCAGGCCAATGAAGAGGTGATGAGAGGGCACTTCAGTCCATGAACAGGCAACACCAGCTGCAGCTGCACTCCTAACATCCACATGCTTTGTGGATGGAGTGCTGATGCTGCTAATGAATTCTGTTTATGGTCTATAACCAGTTCTGTGTGACACAACAAGTACCTGAATAAATAGTGGTATAACCTTAACACAGATGTGTACTTCACTTCTCTCTGCACTTTTAACAAGTTCGTCATACTCCTATTACTTCTTCATATCCAATCACAGGTTTCTTCAGTTTCCATTCCATCTTTTTTCAGTTTCTATTCCATCTTTCATAGTCTGGCACCTAAATATGGATCTTCAGGCCAGGCCAATGAAGAGGTGATGAGAGGGCACTTCAGTCCATGAACAGGCAACACCAGCTGCAGCTGCACTCCTAACATCCACATGCTTTGTGGATGGAGTGCTGATGCTGCTAATGAATTCTGTTTATGGTCTATAACCAGTTCTGTGTGACACAACAAGTACCTGAATAAATAGTGGTATAACCTTAACACAGATGTGTACTTCTTCACAGACTCACTTCATAGGGAAGTCTGCTGCCTCCCTGGGGCCTGCGTAAGGACCTCACAGCAAAACTCCGCACCCTAGTGAGACCCAAGAACTACTACCCTCTCCTGTTTTTTCAGGTAGGTAGTGATGACATCAGCAGGAGAAGGCCTAAAGCAATAAAGAGATATTTCAGGTCCTTGGGAAAACTGCTTAAGGGGTCATGGGCACAAATTGTGTTCTCCTCCATCCCTTCCGGTTGGGGGGATGGATGAGGAAGATTACAGGAGAATTCAGCAGATGAACGGGTGGCTCCAAGACTGGTGTTACCATCTGGCCTTTGGATTTTTCAGTCATGGGATGATATACAGGGCACCTGACCTTTTGTCATTAGATGGAATGCACCTGTCCCAGAGGTGGAAGAGATCTTGGGGCAGGAGTTAGCTGGGCTCATTGAGAGAGCTCTAAACGAAATTTGAAGGGGGAAGGGGGAAAAATATCAGCCCATATGGAGTGCATGTATACCAATGCACACAGCATGGGTAACAAACAGGAGGAGCTTGAAGCCATGATGAAATAGGAAAATTATGATGTTGTTGCTATTACAGAAACACGGTGGAATGTCCCCCATGAGTGGAGTGCACCAGTTGACGGTTACAAGCTCTTTAGGACAGACAGACAAGGAAGGAGAGGTGGTAGGGTGGGTCTCTATGTTAAGGACAAGTCCTAAACATACAGTGTACAAGTGTAGTGAACACAGGGTAGAGTGTCTTTGCATTAGAATCAGGGGGAAGACCAACAGGGCAGATGTTGTAGTAGGAGTCTACTATAGGCCACCCACTCAGGAATGAGAGGTGGATGAGGTATTTTATAGGCATTTAGGTGAAATCTCACGATTGTTTGCCCTTGTTCTTGTGTGTGACTAAGTTCCCAGACATCTGCTGGAGATACAACACAGCAGAGTGGGACCAGTCCTGGAGATTCCTGGAGTGTGTGGCAGATAATGTCCTGACACAGCTGGTGAGTAAACTGAGCAGAGAAGGTGCCCTGCTGGATCTCCTCTTTGTGAACAGAGAAGGACTGGTGGATGATGTGGCAGCTGGAGGCCAACTAGGGCACAGCGATCATGAAATAATAGAGTTCTCTATTCTTAGAGAGGTCAGGAGAGAGCTAAGCAGGACTGACATCCTGGACTTCAGAAGGGCTGACTTTGTCTTCTTTAGGCACCTGCTTGAAAGGATCCCCTGGCAGACTCTCCTGAAGGGTATAGGGGCCCAGGAAGGCTGGGCGCTCTTTAAGAAGGAAGTGTTAATGGCTCAGGAGCAGGCTGTCCCAAGGTGCTCTAAAAGAAGCCGGAGCCAGAGAAGACCACCCTGGCTGAAGAGGGAGCTTTGGCTGCAACTCAGGGAGAAAAGGAGAGTTTACAGCTTCTGGAAGAAGGGGCTAGACACACACAGTGATTACAAAGAGGCTGGGAGGCTATGCAGGGTGCAAATCAGGAAGGAGGTCTAAAGCCCAACTGGAAATTAATCTGGCCTCAGCAGTCAAGGACAATAAGAAAAGTTTCTATAAGTATGTCAGTAGCAAAAGAAAGACCAGGGAGAGTCTCCATCCCCTGCTAGATGCAGGAGGAAATGTGGGAACAAGTGATGAGGAGAAGGCTGAGGTGCTTAATGCCTTCTTTAGCTCAGTCTTTAATAACAAGACTAGCTGTACTGAGGGAATCCAGCCTCCTCAGCCAGAAGACAGAGACTGAGAGAACGACCCCCCTGCATTCCAGGAGACAGTCAGTGACCTGCTGCATCACACAGACACACACAAGTCTATGGGAGCAGATGGGATACACCCAAGGGTGCTGAAGGAGCTGGCTGGGGTGCTCGCCAAGCTGCTTTCCATCATTTACCAGCAGTCCTGGCTGACTGGGGAGGTCCCGACAGATTGGGAATTGGACAATGTGACGCCCATCTATAAGAAGGGTCAGAAGGATGATCCGGGAAATTACAGGTCTGTCAACTTGACTTCGGTGCCCAGGAAGCTGATGGAGCAGCTCATCCTAAATACCACCACACAACACGAGGGACAACCAGATGGCTCAGGTCCAGTCAGCAGGGAGGGAGGTCCTGCTTGACAAACCTGATCTCCTTCTATGACAGGGCGACCTGCTGATTGGAGGAGGGAAAGTCTGTGGATGTAATTTACCTTGACTTTAGCAAGGCCTTTGACACCATTTCCCACAGCATTCTTCTGGCAAAAATGGCTGCTCAAGGCTTGGACAATCGCACACTTCGCTGGATAAAAAATTGTCTGGATGACCAGGCCCAGATAGTTGTGGTCAACAGAATTAATTCTAGTCGGCAGCCAGTCATGAGTGGTGTCCCCCAGGGCTGGGTTTTGGGGCCACTCCTGTTTAACATCTTTATTGATGATCTAGACGAAGGGATCGAGTGCACCCTCAGTCAGTTTGCAGGTGACCCCAAGTTGGGTGGGAGTGTTGATCTGCTCGAGGGCAGGGAGGCTCTGCAGAGAGACCTGGACAGGCTGGAGCCATGGGCTGAGCCCAACTGGGGGAGTTTCAATAAGGGCAAATGCCGGGGGCTGCCCTTGGGCCACAACAACCCCCAGCAGCGCTACAGGCTTGGGGAGGAGTGGCTGGAGAGCTGCCAGTCAGAGAGGGACCTGGGGGGGTTGATTGACAGCTGGCTGAACAGGAGCCAGCAGTGTGCCCAGGGGGCCAAGAAGGCCAATGGCATCCTGGCTTGTGTCAGCAATAGCGTGGCCAGCAGGGACAGGGAAGGGATCTGACCCCTGTACTCAGCACTGGTGAGGCCGCACCTCGATGACTGGGTTCAGTTTTGGGCCCCTCACTCCAAAAAGTACATTGAAGGACTCGAGCATGTCCATAGAAGGGCAACAGAGCTGGTGCAGGGTCTGGAGCACAGGTTGTAGGAGGAGCGGCTGAGGGAACTGGGGGTGTTTATTCTGGAGAAGAGGAGGCTGAGGGGAGACCTCATCGCCCTCTACAGCTACCTGAAAGGAGGGTGCAGAGAGCTGGGGATCTTTAACCAAGTAGTAAGTGACAGAACAAGAGGTAATGGCCTCAAGTTGCACCTGGGAAGGTTTAGACTAGATGACAGGAAGCATTTCTTTACAGAAAGGGTTGTTAGGCGTTGGAATGGGCTGCCCAGTGAGGTGGTGGAGTCCCCATCCCTGGAGGTGTTTAGGAGTCAGGTTGACATAGCGCTGAGGGATCTGGCGTAGCTGGGAACTGTCAGTGCTAGGTTAACAGTTGTACTAGATGGTCTTCAAGGTCCTTTCCAACCTAGTTGATTCTGTGATTCTTAGGACACTGTTTGTTAAAAAAATAAACCAGTCTGAGAAGTCTGTTCTTACTGGGATGCTAACTTACCATGTGAACAACACCTGTCACACCAACAACTTCCAGCAGGCCGTCATCAATGCGTGGTTTCTCAAAGCGGTTATCACTCTCAGACCCCCAGAGATCAGCTCCAGACCCCCAGCTGCAAAGAGAGCACACCACAGTTACTGTCCATGGACCTGCCATCTGTCACAGAGCACCCTGCCCAGTGATCTGATAGAGGTGGCTGGTTCACCATACTTCAAAAGCTAGACACTCCAAGCTGGAGGAGACAACACAGATTTCCCGTGCCATAAAAGCAGGAAGTGTTTTCCTAAAATTTGGAAGACTTCTGACCAGATCTTTTAAGAGTGAAAGGAGGAGTGAAGTAAGTAGTTTCTATTTGAAAAAAAAAGAGTAGGTAAGAGAAAGTAACTCCACAGAGTTTTAATTTGCTGGGAAATACAGATTACAGCTACACCAGTCCCTAACTTCCAAGACTTAACATAGATCTTACTGGTCTCAAAAATATTCATGGAAGCTACTGAAGAGAAACTAAAGCTAAAACAAGTATCAAGATTTTCTTCTTTTACCTGGCCAAACTTACTTGCAGTTAAGCAGATATTCTTGTACTTCAATCCTCTGAAACGCTTCTGACAATTTAACGGCATGTTGCCTTTTGTGCAGTATTGACCCTCCTTACTCAAATCACTTGCCTATTGCTTTAGTGCACTGACTGCTCATTACTTATCATGGTCTTCTCCACAGTTCTTATGTGCAATGTATACTTGTGCATATGCACGTGCACATACATGTGTGTACGTGTAAATATACATGAATAGAAAGTTGAAACATTTTCAGACTAAAACAGAAATAAATACAGGTAGTTTAAGATAAAAGTGTACTTGAAAAAAATAGTATGGCAGCACTTACTACCTGCTGGTTTTGTGCAAACAAAAAACTTGCCTCTACCAACAGCACGGGTAAGTTAGCCAGATTTCCTGCAGATCTGCCCTCCTTTCTTCCACAGCAGTAACTCTTTGGCAGCACCCAAAACCCTGCAAAAGGTACCTGAACTATGGGTTTTCCACAGCTACCAGATTAGAATCATCAACTCCACATATACTGACCAGCTGGCTGTAGGGCCTGGACACTATTTGACAGCTGAATCCTGGCTGGCCTTCACTGCAAGAACTGCTTAGGTACCTGGTCTCTGGCATGCCAGAAAGTGTGTGCAAGTTGATCATCTCCGATCCTTCTGCAATCCGGTGAAATCTGGCAGACCATTCAAACAGTTTGGGGGAGAAGGAAAATTATAGTGGACAGAAGCTACAGACCTATAACCATGCCTAGAAAGTCAGGTTTTACTAAAAAACTGCTCCAATGAAGTCTGAAGACCTTTGGTGAGGAAATAACTCCAAATTACTGTTAGGACACAGAAGAACTAGCAAATGTAAGGGGGTTTGCACTGGGAAAATAAGATAGTACCACCTTTATGCGAAGTGAGATTGTGTTTCCAAGAAACAGAAAAACAATGTCAAAATGGTATTAATTAGGCACAGTTGCAAAGCCAGCAAGTCAGGCAATAATCAAAAATACCCAGTAGCAACCATGTATTAATCCAGACCATCTAACATTTTATCTAACCATTTGACATTTGATGCTCAAATACCAAGCAGCACTTCTTACATACAGCCACACAGGATCCTTCCTCTCCTTTTTACCTGGGTATATTAATAAAAATGAGTCCTTCTATACTTGGTAACTCCACCTCGTGCTGGTCCACTTGAAGCTTTATGTCTTTGTGAAGATTTCTGGTATGACTTATCTTCTGCAGCCCAACTTTCACGTAAACTCCTTTGTTGTGAAACCTAAGAACAGACAAGCATTATGTAACTATAAAGCATGGTCCTACATAGCACTCTTCCTTTAACATCTAACAGTACTGTCCTCCAGCAGGTATGTTGAAAGTTTTACTGTTAAAAACCTCTCCAAGTTCTTGTAGCTTTGCTGCAGAAACAAAGCATAGGCCACAAATTGCTACTTTATATACCCTTTACTTAAGTGATGATTTGTGCTGTTGAGGCACGTGGAGATCTGTGAAATTTTATTACAGAAAAGTCATCCCTTCTTAAAGCATTGCCTGAATGCAATGCCTCTTTGAAATATAAGCTTCTGGGCTAGAAAATTAAGACTTAGAGGTCTTCAAGAAACATTTTAAAATGTTTTGTCATGCAATGCTAGAATAGTTAAGGCACAAAATCCTTTGTAAGTCTTTGCTTTACATATCACTAATTCATTTGAAATATACTCAGCTGTAGAAACTTAAAATGTGCTTAGTAATGTTAACCTGTGACAGAGCTCTAACATCTCTAATTTTAGAGTAAAAAAGATGAGGAAGACTTTATGCCATCCCTAGAAATGTCAACATATTTTAAGAATAACGTAAACAAATGTTAGTTAAACATGCACAGTATTTTCTTCTATAATGGAAACCTTTTGATACATGGCTTTCAGGGCACTCCTAAAATAAAAACCATACATTTCCATTACTTGACCCTACTAGCACATGGGTGTCATTTGAATCCAACTCTGCAAAATGTCTCTAGCATTATGTGTAAATATCGTAGACATTCAAGTGGGGAAGACAGCCAGTTTAGCACGTGGGTTATAGTCAACTCTTCAGACAGAGACTGTTTAGTTCTTTTAAATTATTACACTGGGAATGATTAGTCCTACACATCAACAGTTTTAACAGCACTGAATTAAAGGTATCTGACATAACACCATTTAAGACATACTTAACATATGCTTCTACTCCAGAAAAGACAATAAGACATGCCTATGCTAAGACAGGTTTTGTCTAATTTGGATACAAATCAAACATGACAGAATATCGGTAGGAAGAACAATACTTTAAATATCTCCAAGAAGTACTATTTTTAGTGGTATGAAGAAGGAAAAAAAGTATATGATACAGTATCATAACTGAAGTCAGTTCTGAACTACATGACTTCTAAGAAACATTTATTGACCACTGACATCCACAGGATCCAGAGAAATTGGATACAGCACCCTGTGACGCACAGCAAAGGGTAAATCTGTCAGAGATTAAATCTATCGCTCCATTCTTGTGTATTTATTCAATTTCATTTATGTATCTTACTAGGACAGTAAGAACAAGTAACAATGAACAAACTGATTTCTGTGATACCATGCCAATTCCTACCCAATGGTTTTGAAGGTGACTGAAAGATTTTATGATTAGAATAGCCAGCCAAGCTTGGAAGGCTGGTCTTGGCACATCCACCACTAGAGAGAATCACCACCCCTCTTTGCACGTCTACATGTGGAACATGACCTGGAGAGAAAGTGTCCATGGAAGTTGTCAGTCTACTGCTAGCAGTAGCAAATAACATACTAGCTTGCTCACTTGGGTAGAAAGAATATGCATCTCCTAAAGCAAACTCTTGGTTAGATACATTTTGGAGACAGTAGTTTCACCAGTTAATTAGCAAGGCAGGAGCAATATAAGGTGTCTCCAACACCTTATTTGTGCTGAAGGAAATCAAGGTTTGTATTAGGTGAGAGCCACATTGCAGTCATTGCTGTAAATGACACTGATAGGGCAGGGTGTTACATGGAACTCATCCATCCCCATGTCCTTCATCAGCTCAGCAGCAACACTTGCATCATTATGTCATCCTAGAACTATTTTGTATGCTCTCTAGAGAACAGACATGAAAGCAACATCCTACTGCTCCAATGAGTTGGGGGATTTGATCTACACAGCTCAGGAATCACCCTTTGGTTTATTTTTCTACAGAAGATACACTACAATTATAGCAAACATTCACATACTACCTGATGTCCCACAGGCTACACTTATAAAGCTACATAGACCCTTCCTGAGGGACATGCTGAAGACTGGACTGATTCTTCAGTTTAGCTAATTGAGTATCTCATAATAGATAAAGTTAAAAAGGTGATCCTACATATGATCAGTTTCATGGAGTATTAAACAAGTATTTAAGTATTGCAATACTGTATGTATCTTTCATAGAGCAAACTGAAAAACACCCTTTACTCTTTTAAGTCTCATGACTCAGGGAGACACTGTAGCATCAATTTACACTGTTAGTTTAATCATCTCTGTGGCTGTAGAAGCAGCAAGCAACCCTGGTGTCCAGAGGAAGCAAGACCGCCAGTTACTGCTTTCCAAGCTTTCATGAAAACAAAATAAAGAAGCCAGTCCTCAAAAGTTATGAAGAAACAAAGTGAGCTCATGCAGAAAGCCAGAATTCTCAGAACTCTTGCCAACTGCAGCACACCCAGAAGGGCAAGTTTGAGGAACTCCTTCTGAAAGGTAACGGATAAGAGATCTGTGTGCCAGGCCCTTTTAAATGAGATGCAACTTCCCATAAGCGCTAATGAACAGCTAAGTAACATCTCTCAGGAGGAGACCTTAGAACTGCAGCATGGAAAGCTATCAAGCAAAACAAAATGACTGCCTTTTATCTAGTCCTGCAATTCAACAAGCCCACCACTGGGTGGGAAACCACCACCACACAAGGTAAGAGCTCTGACCTATAATTAGTATCTGTTTTGGCACTTTTATTAGGGTTATCTTACTGACTGGGAAAAAACTTTACCAAGTTCACATAAAGAGGTCCCAAGATGGAAAAAAATGAGTTTAGACAGGAGCAGTTGTAGCATTTTAAAACCCACAACCGACAAATCAAACAACCAATAGTTTCAAACCTTCTGCCCACCAAGAGAGATGCATTAAATCATGCAGAATACTCTCTTTGCCTTACCTTACATCCAGAAAACTGCCTGCCACAGCAGTCTCCTGCTAATTTTGGACAGCACAAACAAGATGTGGTCTCTTCTGTAATAGGCAACCCTAAAGACTGCTCCAGGATCCCACGGGAATGGGGGAATGAAGGCAGATGCCCTGATCCTTTTAACTTTCACGCTGTGAAAAAAACTCACATAGCTTGGCACTCAACAACGTAAAAACCATCGCTGCCACAACATACACTACTTCTATCTGCCCTGCAATGCATATTTAGCACTAAATTCCCTGCAGTGATGTCATCACTGCACTGTGAACTGTCAAAGGTAAGGAGTCCTGAGCATGTAAAGAAACTCTACAGCTTGAGGTCAGAGAGCACACAGCCCATTTCTCTTCCAAGGTTACCTGCAATTTCTGTTGTCACAACCTGAAACTTCCTGTTCTGCTCTCAAGAGCAGGCAGTTCACATGGCAGCAGCAGTTGCATCTGGCATTAAGTAGCCACCCTTCCTAGCCAATTTACTGAAAATAATTTAAAAAAAAAATGCTAATCTTGCTGGTAAGAGTGTGTCCTTGCATGTCATGGGAAAGGGTAGAGCCAGAAATTTTAACAATCATTAGAGGCAGTGAAAAGTAATAATCATGTGTCAGCACTGTTAGCCTGCACAAGCTGTTTGTCTTCTGCAAAACCATACCACGGTATCAATTCATTATTTCATGTTTCTTTTCCAGATCTTAAATCACAGAAATATACAACCCTTCAGATTTACCAAAACCACCCCATCATGTCTTCCTTCCCACATGTCCTTCAAGACATCTTGCTTACATGCTGTCCAAATATGAATGTAAAAAGTCTGCAAGAATGGTACCAAGTCCTTACCCATCGCACTGCAGGTGTTGCACACTGTGAACTGAGATATAGATTTAAGGGATGAAAATCACACAGGGCAATAGAAGTCTAAGTATAATCCTTAAATACAGTGGCAATAAGAAAAGGACACACCGTTTAAAGTGCTGCAACTTTGCAAAGTCAAACTAGTATATTTTAAAGGCAGAATGAACATAACACATTAATTGTACAAGCATATCTAGAACTGCTATACCCAAACATTGCCCGATTTTACTACCTAAATTGTTTTTAATCCAGTGGACTGAAAATGAAAACTAGTGCCTAATATTAAGTTATGTACCACAAATAATATCCTGTCCTACTCTGTTTTTAAGAAAAAAACATGAGCAGTGCCTGTAATGATAGACAGAACATGGCAAGATAAGTGGGATTACACTTCATTACACTCATAACAGGTCAGAGAACATTTTTAATAGTCCAGATTTGAATACTGCATAGTTGTAAACTGCTGTAACTCTCTGGGACAACCAAGAAACAATTTAGAGTACATTGGGGAAAGCAGACAAAACCAGTTTCTACAAGGAATTACTGATTAATTACACAAATATGATTTTTCTTATCGATTTCAGTGATTATGGGAAGAATAAGAATTACTATTATTGATTGATCTGCATGCCAGAAAGGAGAAAGGTCTCTCTCCACACCTTTTTAATCACTTGAGATAGAGATCTTTTTTTGTCCTCATTACCAGACTGCAAGCACAACCACAGCACTAAGCAAGGGTGGGAAAGGTACAAGTAAGTTCTGAACAGCATGTTTATTCCTCATGTAGCAGCACTACCCTTCCCCTTCCTAAAGGCTTTGAATAAGAGATATTTCCATTACCCCAAAATTTCACTGAATTCAACACTGCAGTTATTGGCAAATAAGTATGCTGAATAATAATGACAGGGCTTCCAAAACTTGCTTTGGTGCTCTCTTGGTTAAAAAAGAAGGAAAAAAAACCCCAAACCACCCTAAATTCTGTGTCTTACGAGTTCCTGGCTAACTTAATTCCTCCCTGTGCCAGCTCTGCCTCAAGCAATATTGTTTGTGGATACCTGTAGCATTTCAAGATTATCAGCCATAGTGTAAGTTGCAAGTTATTCAATACCACAGTTCATCCTTCAACCCTGGTTTCCCCAGGATTACCTGCTATTAAATTTCCCTGGTTCTTCTTCTCTAGCATGATGAAAGTCCAAGCTCAACTCTGCGTCAATGCCAAGACCACAGTAATTGTTCATCTGTACAATCTGACAAAAAAATATATTGTATTATTTCCTCATGTTTATAAATGAAGATGTTCCGAAGTTTTTCAAGAAAAGAAAGCTTTGCAGATTATCCTTCCAAGTCACTTGCATCTTGACAGATTCTGGAAAACATTTTCCAAAACACTGTACTAAAAATAAAGCTGTACAGACAATTGTTGACTTATGTAGTCATTATTTCCAAAGTATCAGAAACTTCAAAATGTAATTGTAATTGCAAATAACAAGCATAATAAGACAGAAATAAAAACAAATGCAGAAATAGAACCAACCCAGCCTCTCAAAGTGATTCTGTGTGGTAACTACACAAGTTACTGAACACTGAACGCCACAATTATTTTTGGCATGAGCCATGGATTTATCATGACATCACTGGGAAGATGCTCTTCCTTACTTTAGAAGGTGACTGATTTAGGCCAGATCAGTGAAGAATTTGACTTCACCTACTCAGCTGAATTTTAAATAGTTTCCCTATATGCCAATCTCAAGTTTCTACAGATCTCATCCATTTCTGCAATTAATTCTTCCTTTGCATGTCAGTTCATTCCATAGCTTTTCTATCCTAGTCCTTAACTCTCCCACGCTTCACCCACAATAAGAAGATTAGGCACTCAGGGAAAAATCAACCCTTGTCTCCATGATGTGAAAAACAGTAGGAACCTGAGCAACTTAAACCCTCCAATTGACACATAATGCCTAGGGTTTTCCAGAGACTGGATTAAAACCTTAGAGAACTGCTACTATTATTACAATATCCTACTTTCTTTTTGCCACCCCCTTGTTCAGCTTCTTTCTTTTGTCTGAAGATAAAGAACCAGGATTCACACAAAGCTCAGAAATCACCATCTACAACAAGAATTTTTATTTTCCTAAACAGAAACAATTAATATGAACCAAGGGACCAGGACTTTCACGCTAAAAAATTAAAACTGATGCCAAAATAAAAGATACAATGGCAGTAAGATGACAGAAGGATTCACTTCCTGTATATGCTACCAACTCAGTAATTTTTTAAACTGTTTAAGGTAAGATAAGAGTACTTTGTGGGGGGTGTTGGTTTTTTGGTCGACACTCCTGTTTCACTAGTGTTCTGGGAATTGTTTGCCATTCCTTTAAAAAACTTTTCTTATTAGAGAAATAAATTTCTTGCCCACTGAAGCACATAGGTATACCGTTGTCACTTGAATCTTTTCACTAATCCTCTATAAGAAACTTTTTGCCAGACAGCTATGAAGTGTGTTCTGCAGCCAACCAGTACTACCCAAACTGAAGAACTAGATATAGATGTATGCTGTGTTCACTAAGGAATAACTCAGTAAGGCCCAAGCTGAAAGACAGGAGAGCACTAAAAGATTAAACTACATTAATGTCTATTTTCTTTGTGATTTTCACTAGAACAACAGTTCCTAAGAATCAAACCCAAACAGTGCTCAGCTCACCTTTGGAGGCTCAGGTTCCGCAACGCCATTCTCTGCACCTTCAGCTGGTTCTTCTGCATCCAAAAGGATAGTCCAGCGATCCATCAGAACATCGTCTGCCTCATCCACAGAAACCAAAATCGAGTAGGGGTCTTCCCCACTGTAACCAGCTCCCCAGCGCAAGACCCTCCCTAAGTCATTACCTGGGCAACAGTGAAAAACCCCAAAATATCACTGCATTTTGTAAGTTAATTAAAAGCATCAAAATTGCACCAGCCCTGTTTCACAAATCAAATTGCCTTAAGGTGCTCCAAACAAGTCACAGAAGTAATCATATTAGGCTGAAAAGTTAACAAGTAAAAAAAAATACCTAAGTGTTGTTGTGGCTGCATATGTGCTTAGTATCACATACACATATGCTGTCTCATCTGAAGAATTTTCACAAAGAATGATGGAAAAACCTTTTAAAGAGTTGAGAAGTCAGGGAACAGCTGAGTTCACTGGTTTACAGCAATGGCTAAGGCACCTGTGGCTGTCAAGGGGTGAATATTTTGCTCTCTTCAACTCCTGCCCACTCAAACACCCATACCAACACCACACCACTTTTCCTTCAGAAAGCATGACTAATGTTTCATTGAAAAGCCGATACTGCATCTGCTCTCCAACACTTAAAGATAGACCTTCTGGAGGATTTCTACCCTCAGAATAATGGTGTTTGCTGTGATTCTCACCTGTTCCTAAAGGCAAGATGGCAACAGAGGGCTCTGAGCACACCAGCTTGTGCCTGATCTCTTCCAGAGCACCAAGGACCCAGCCGACGGTGCCATCCCCTCCGCACACTAGCACTCGGAAGGAGGGGACTTTAGAGAATGTGTGAAACCTCCATTGAGAAACAAAGCAAAGGAGAAAAGAAATGTTACAATGTAATAGAGGAAAAGCAAAGCCTCTTAATATGCTATTTAAGATAACACATTAGTACTGGATTTCTCCTCCTGCCTCTTTACCGTCAGTTTCAGGGTCAACTTCAACGAGAATGGGAAAATAGGAACTCTTAGATAATGCTGTTTAAAAAGAGTTAAAACCACATTCTTCTCAGATCCTTCACATCTAGAGTTAAATTGTTAAACACTTCCTTTTTCATCAAAGACCTATTTTCACCAAAGACCTCTAACTATTCATCATTTCAATGGGAATATCTACAACTCTCTAAATCCTAGTGGGGATGTTGATTAGCGGTGTGGGTTTTGGTTTTTTTTTTTCCTTAGTCATAGGACTCATGGTACATTTTCTTCTTCATAGTACTATCTTCCTGGTTGCTCTTACCTTTTGTGGCTTTCATTCTACATATCAAGATAACCTGCAAAGGTATTGCACAAGAAGCAATGAACAAGTGGAAGCATTTTGCCGTAAAGCCACAGAAGGATTCCATGGGCAAAACAAAAAGAATGTTACTGAACTTTCAGCTTGAACTGCATTAGAAAGACAACAGAATCATACAGTTCTGACAAAAAACTTAAGTTTGTGCAGCTTGTTTTTCTTGCCTCCCGCATAAGCTGCATTTCTCCCATGAAAGCATCTGTTTTGAAGAGCTTGTCAGGACTGTTCTTTGTTAAAGCAGTGCTGAAGGAATGAGACTACTCAGAGTCCCTACAAACAACACTTTCAATTTTATGAAGCTGGTAACTAAGTAGCGTTGATTAAATCAAGTAATGGGTTCCTGCCTCCCTACAAGCACATTATGTTCTGTTCCTTGTATTTAGAAATGCTGCAGCTGTGATCAGGCAGGCCCTGTTAATTCTGCAATTGTAGCCAAGTTTCAAGAGTCAAGACAGAAAATTTTATTATACTTTCCTGTTAGTTCCCATGAAACATCAGAGGAAATAAAAGTAAAACCAAGCCTCATCAGGAAATATGACACTTCTCTTTCCACTCCCATTCATTTATAAAATATTTTTATTTTTAATAATTATTAAATCTGTGTTATTGTAAAGTGCATATGACTGTTCCAGGACTGGACTCTATTAGACTTGACACAAGGATATATAACAGAAACTACTCTATTCTCTTTTCTTTAGAAAACCTCAAAGTTTCAATCTGTCTTCAGAGAGAACCCGTCAGAAGGAATGATCCACTGCTCTGGTCTTCAAGCACAGAACAGAAGCAATTTACATCTTCATAACAACTGAATCTGCCCCACCCTTTCAAAAAATAACAAAAGAACATAAATAAAAAAATATGATGACTCACCCAGGCAGTGGGCCACCATTGGTAAGTTCAAAGACCTGATGTGGGTTTAGGAGCTTTCTAAAACTGTACAGCAGATCCCGACCTTTTAGACCACCACTTTTTGGATTCACAAATACAAGAAGTGGGCAGCAGTTCTGTGGTATCTTGGAATCCTGAAAGAAGATAAGAAAAAGGATTAGCCAAAACCATGAATAGGCAGGAAAATTACTACTGCATCTCAGAAGTATTTCCTGATGCTTCCTTGATGCTTAGTAGAAAAATCCAGATTAGATAAATAAAAAGATTCAGATGTCCAGGCAAGCTGCTGATCTTGTTTTTCTGGTAACTTAAGTTTCCTTAACCTATTCCAACTACAGTGTTGAGTCTAATGTTAAAAACAAAGGCACTGTAAGTAGCCCTTCCTACACATTTTCAGTAAAGAGTCTATGTCAAAGAATAGTGTGAAGGATAAGGTACTTTCCAGAATCATGTATAATCCAAACACTTTCTTTGCAAAGAGAGAACTTCTCTCAGAAACAACTCAAACACTTAAGTTTTGTGGTCATCTAGAATATGTGTTGATATAAGGACAAAACTTGAGGGGGTGTTTCATCCCCTCTTTTTGAAATGTTTTGTCCCATGAAATAAGAGGCTGAAAGTGTCTTTTTTTACCAGAAGCATTTGGTGCCAGTATTTTATGATCCTTATGATCCTTACACCTACTGAAGCTGCTGCTGAAAGGGCTCTCAAAGCATGGCCATGCTGCGGGGGAACTCAGTACACATCCAGAAACCACTCCAAAGGAAGCCACTGCACACGGCAGAAGGATTTTCTGGGATACTCCATGGACTGCATTGAACAGTACCTGCAGCCTCACCAGAGGTCAAAACTTCCAGCTATGAGAAGTACCCACTTGGGACTGGTTTTCAGCCAGCCAGCCCATAAATCATTCTGTAAAACAATGTGAAAACAGTTATAGAAAGATCGGAAAAATGCCAGCACACCCTTTGTCTGTCCAGCCACAGAGCTGTGGGGCAGGTATGTGTCAGAAAAGTCTGTTGGGCATTTCAACAAGTGTGCTTCAAAACAGAAACGTTTGCTACAGTCCCTAAATTGTGGTAATTTGTATTTACAAATTGGACAGCATTCAGGGAACAGCAGTTTGTCACGCAGCTGACAGGATGGATTCAGGGAACAGAACAACAGTGCTAAATATAAGTCAATTTAGACAAGAATGATTCAGGGGGCGGTCAGGCAGCAGCATGACTGCAGCATGCAAACATGCAGAGGGATACCAACAGCTACAGAGAAGAGGAGACAGCACCCAGAGCATCTGCTGGCTGCTGACTATAATCAACCAACCACCAGAGAGCATGAACTAAGGGTGAGAAATGGAGAAATCAGTATAAATTAATGAGTAACTCTGTGGGGAAGCAAACTGGAGTCTGATGTTGAGACATCCCAGACCACCTGTGAGCTGAATGGGATGCTTAAGAACAAAGGAACGTTTGGGACTTCCCATTATTTGAGATTTGCTCAAATTTTGCTTTCCTAAAAGAGTTGGGTGCTAGTCCTCTGCAAGTCACACCCTGCCAGATGTGTCAAGATACCTGCAAAGACATAAAAATGCTGCTCCTCTGTGCATTGCCTGCATGAGAAATTCCCTCTGCCATCCAGCGTGACTTGCAGACACAAACAGAAAACACACCAGGAAGAGGAACACTAAGCAGGTAAGGTTAGTGGAGAGGCACACAGTTCTCCTCTTGCCCCTTCCTTCCTCATCCTTTAGATTCTACCACATACATTTGTTTAGAAAAATTAGCCAAACGAAAGCTATTTTGGCTGACAAAGTGCCAGAAGAGACTCACAATTTTGTTTCACTAGAAAGGCTTCAGTGCTGGTAAAGCTACTGGGTTGGTGAGACAGAGGCTGCAAAGCTGTCCACACAGCTTTCTCCAGAGGAACCACCTTCACGCTATACTGTGATGACTCCTAGGTCAAAACACCTCTCACCTCTGCATCCAGGCTTTATTCAAAGTGTTCCCAACACCCAAGGGTAATACATTTATTTCTGTTAAGCACGTGGAAAGGATATTTGTAGACAGCTAGGAAGTCTAAGGAAAACAATGCATGCCATTGTCACAAAAAGGAAGGATTTCTTGAGTTGTAAGGTCAACAGCTCAAGGATCCACACATCCCAATGAGAGAAGTGGATTTCCTCCCCTTGAGCCATCATAGGCATTAATAAAAATAGTAAACAGAGCTCTGGCTTTTCTAGAAGTAAAGCTCTTCTCATTACTCCATCAGTTCCCACACCATTATCTGCCATAGTCCATTATGAATGGTCCTTCCAAAAATCCCACAAGCAACGAAAGGCAGAGCAGCCCTGAAGGGAAATGCTACATCCCATGAGGTAACAGAGCAAACTGTTCCCTTCCTAAACTGCTTGTTCCAGCTTCTAGTCTGCCCTACCTTCCCACCTGACCACTTCTCCCATTTCTTCCTCTTCAAAGCTTTTTTACTACCTAGATTTCATCTCCAGTCATTTCAACTTTCTGAATACAGGCTATCTGAAACCTCAGGCTTGGTTCAATGCCCAGAAACTTGTGGGGTTTTAAAAAAGGTGGGTAAAGGGAAAATAGAAAGAAAAAATATTAAGTTCCAAAGCTCAAAGTAAACAGAATTTTTTTCAAAAAATAATGTGAGGAAAGAAACCAGTCTAACATTCAAGTCAACCCTTACTTGAATGTGGATGAGAACATCTGATTACTTTCTCTTCTTCAGGAAATCAGTTTCTAAAAATACTAGTTTTAGACATTTAGAAGTGACATGTTGAACACATGTTTTATATTACTTGCTTCTACAGGGAAGTTCTAATGCACTGGGTTTAAAACCAAGTAACTAAAGTAATTCACAAGGAACTTCAGGGAATTGCAAGGATTTTTGAGACATGGTAAGCTCCAAGGCATTCAAAAACACAGCTGTGTTTTGGAAAGTCCTCTGAAATCTTACCCAAGTAAATATATAGTGTTGCAAATATGTATTTACAGTTTTACAAATAGGTACTATGTATATAAACATAAATATGTATTTACAAAACTGCCACCTAAACTTTCTGACTGTCAATATCGTACCAAAAAAAAAAAAAAGGTGAAACACCCTGCATGCTACTAGGACTCACAAGCCACTGTGGAGAACGACTAGAGCTAAAAAAATATCTGTATGTAGTGTAAACTGAGCAGTCCTATCCCTCAAAACCATCTTTGTTCAAATATCTTCTAATGTAAATCCCTAACTATACCTATTAAGGACTAAACGAACCTATGTAGAATAAACAGAAGTATTCTAGAAAGGGCTTAGTTAACTTGCTTCCCGTACTCATTCTTCATTAAACTTAAAGGAGTGAGAAACACAGCTAACCCCTAGATAAAGGCCAGCTTCTAAGAAAGCAGTTATTTTTCAGTCAGGGTTAAAAACTCTATGACAGTTTGCACAGCAGAGCAGGCCCACTGCACTGCCTTCTGAAAAGTACATGCTCCGTTACAATTACAGATGGCCACAAGGGTAGTACTCTTATGCTGCAGAATTTTTTTTAATACCTTAATAAAGTCCCAGTGGGGATGTACAAATGAGTTTGTTTCTGAGCAGAAGAGGATGTGTGACTCACAGCCTGAGGACTCCCTTCCCCCTTTAGCCCTGGCTTCAGTGCTCTGCTTGAGGAGTGAAATCTGCAGAGGGGTTTTGTGTTGGCTGGTGTTCAGGAAGGAATTTATTGCTTGTTTCTCAGACACAGCTGAAGGAGGCTGTGTGATTTAGACACTCTAACAGTCACTGTGAATTGCTTAATTTGTCAGGAATAGCACAACGTGGCTTCAGGCTGGGACAAAATATTTATTATCTACGCTAATCCCCTTTCTGTTGAGTGTACTGTGCAATCACATCTCACGACAAAGCAGAACAGGGCGTTCTGTGCCACAGGCCTGCCAGCATGACAACCATGGTGCATCTCCTAAGGGTGATGGGCTGTCTCCAGTAACTGTAAATATCTCTAAGTGACAGGTAAAACTCAAGATCTGTAAGCAGGCTGTCTGCAGCATCTACCATGTGCAAGGATTCATGATGCCCCAAGCATAAACTTCCTTCACACTGGCCAGAAAAAAAATCACTGCATCTGATCAGAAATGGCGTGTAAGGTGTCTCAACACAACCAGAGCAGCATCTGGGTCAGCAATACACAAGCTCAAGATTTTCTTTACTTTCTGGAGAATTGCGGCAGTGGAAGAAGGGTGAAAAGTAACCTTTCGTGGTGTTTTGGCTAAAAGGGTTATTAAATTATCATGCTTTTAAATTGGACATGTTTGTGTAAGGAATTAGTGGAATGAATGAAACTGAAAGTTTCACCCATTTGGGAAACTCCCACATCTTTTTCTACTACTCCTAAGTACATAACCTAAATACAGTTTGTCATAGGGTACTCCACTGCTAAGTGGCATTATTGATAAAGCCACAAAAACTTGCCACGTTTTTGTGGCCTCAAACAGCTCTGCTGATTTCACTCTTTTCTATAGTGCAAAAGGAGTTCTGGTAAATTAGCTTTCTATTCAAAGATTCAGGTCTGCAGTGTCTTTCACCTTGACAAAAACCAAAGAGTGATACCAACCTGCCCCTGCAGGTCCTTACAGACAGCAGCTAAACAGCTTTGTAAGACTGTTTTTTTTTGTTTTTTTGTTGTTTTTTTTTTTCCACACTACAAGGAAGAGAATATTTTAATTTATTTGAATATTGAATGAAAATTTATTTGATTAAATTCTTAAAGATCTGAGATCATGAAACTGCAGAACAGATTATCATATCTGATGATACTAATTGTTTGACTTTCTAATAAACAGTCAATGAAAATTGATTCTTCATACAAACTTTTTAGTAGTGATAGTAAGAGGATGAATTGCTGGCAGACTTGACAATACCAGACAAGAACTGGGCCTCCTCCTTAGAAGGTATATCAGACACAAAGTAAGCAAATCTCACCTCAGAAAAATGAAGGACTAGAAACCTGCTAAACACCAATTTACATCTGTGCTATTATCGACTTTTAAGAAGGGTTGTTTTATTTAAGTTGCAATTTAGAAAAATTGTTCATTAACCAAAACACTGTGGCCTTTATCACCCATTCTTCTGAGACTATACACTAGCCCTTCATTTTCAATTTCTTTGTATTTCACCCACAAGAGGAATGTCACACAGAGCATAAATTTAATGTTGTGCTCAGTTCCTGTATAAGTATTTCCTGGTGCTGTATTTAAATGGTCACATATACAAAGTATAAACAAAGGCTAATAGTATCATATGATAAAAGGAAAATCGATGTTGGAAAGTACCTCAAGAAGTCATCTAGTCCCAACTGCTACCCAAAAAAGAGTCAACAATCACTCATTCATTTACCCTATTATTTAGATTAACTCTTGGCTCATTTCACTGAGATGATCAAATATAAACAATACATATGGAAATGGAAACAAAATATATGTGCATATGCACAGCCTCTCTCTCCTCCTCACATAGTAGAAAATCATCCAAAGAGATCCCCTGAAGTTTCTAAAAAAATCTTGCATTGGGTAACAGAAAGCATTATCTGTATTTTCTGGGCATCAAGAAGTTCACTTCAAACATATCTAGTGTCAGAAAACCAGACACACACACATAATCAATAGAGTGGAGTATGTCCAACTTCACATATCATGCACCAAATCAGGGCTCATAATGCATTTGCCTAAAAACTTTCCAAAAAAAGCATCCAAAAGTAGTCATATCTTCATGCTGAGTTCTCCTTCTGATAACAGAAACTCTGAAACCTAGTTTGGACAAGGGGGGGACCTTCGTTTCTAATGATTTCACAAAAACATAATGCTGATGCATGCATAAGAACAACAGACTAATTTTTTTTTGGAGGGGGGATAGTTTTTAATCTTGCCAGTTTCATGTAAGCACTGCCACTAGTATTTGTTCATATATAAAAAAATAATTTTACCTTCAGGAAACTTTGACAAGCATAGGACTCTAAATGGTGAAAGTAGGCATGTAAGTATGCAACTATGGCTACTGAACTTGAGACCCTCCAATCTAAAGATTTTTACAGTTCCCACTAATTAGGTATTTTTTTAAGTTTTCAACCTTGTGTGAAGTTCTAAGAAGTCAAACCAAGACCTTCACTTCACTTGCCATAATGCAACTCCAGAAAGACAGTAACTGCAAGATACATAACAGCTCAGCAGAAGGTAACCATGTCTACACGCTCTTTTGGACAGAACCTACATCATCTGGGTTAAAAATCACTTTGCTCAGGAAGCTTTAACACAAAACTTATTATTAAACCAACTGATTCATATGAAAGTCATTCGTAACCATAAAAACTAATAAACCACAATCAAGCCTGAATTTGTGAAAGGACTCTTATGCTAAGTCTTTCAAAAGACCGTTTTCCTCTGCAATCTACAATGCAGCATTTAAACAAGGTCAAACATCCTCTGCTATAGAATGAGGGAAATGAAGATGCTGTAAATATGAAGACTAGCGTAGTATTTTATCTCACGGTTAGTGAGGAAACACATTTCGTCCCCCCAAAAACGTTGTTGTAAGCTTTTTAAGATGTGCCAGCTAAAATTAAAACCCCACATAAGTTTTTGATCATTGAAAGAAATAAAAGGAAAAAAAAAATGTTTTTCTCCCCCTTTACAGTTGTATAGTTATGCAGTTGTATAGTTGTATAGCTATTCCTGACAACTCAGCAGGACAAGTGACTTCACTCACAGAAGTATAACATATACATGAAGTACAGGCTCTCAAATACTTTTTTTTTTTTAATCATACTACTGACAGAAACTCATTGTATGGCTCCTTTGAGTAAAATGTATTTTCATTTAGGAAATGTCCATTTTCATAAGACTTCCAGCAGAGAGAGTCCTAAGGTAGTTGTTTTTTCTTTTAAAGACATATTTTAAATTCAAACCCATTTCTTACCCTAACTTCAGGAATCACCACAGCATTCAGAGGCTTGTCATTGACAGTTGTATCTTTAACTAGCATATATATTCTTTCAGCTTCAGAAAAGCATGAAATTTCAAGTACAACAGCACCTGTAAAGAGTCATCAGAACTATTGTTTTATATTTTCTATTATTATTAGGAAATCAGTATCATCATATTATGAAAAAGTTTACTGAGTTTAGTCATTACATTATTAGGTAAAAGCTGCTCTGCAACAATTGTGGTTGTTGGCTATCAGTGAATTAGGCTGTTTTGTTTTTTAAGCTTTCCTTCATACTCCCGCACACATCCCAGATTTTTGTTAAAGCAAAGCAGTTTAAGGAGGAGAAGATTTAAGAAGAACTGCAGCACAAAACTGATGCATATTTAAAAGCTTCCTTTTGGCTTCAGAAGTATGGCCTATTTCCATACTCTTTATCAGAACTAGGAGGCCATTCTCATCATGCAAAAGTGATAAAGGTATCAGGTTTCATTTTGTATCTCACTATTAAAAATCCAGTAGTTCCATTCATTGACAGTATCTCAGTAAGAATTATTATGAGCAAAGATGTAGTTTGAGAATCAACTGATGATCTTTATGTTGACTTTGATCCTGTATGGGGAAGTGCGGAGGAAGGGAAGGCAAAATAAAATAAAAAAAAAAAGGAAAATACTGACAAGTTAGTTTAAAGTTAAGATACTTAGTGAGGAGGCAAACTGGGCAAGACAAGATCAAAGCATGTAATGCGCAGCATATGAGATGCATCTGGCAGCACAACCTGGCTGCAATCAAAAGTGAGAGTCAGAAAGTTAACAGAAACAAAAGATGCTCAGAAAGTAAAAAACCACAAAAACCACACAGAAGCAGAAATATCTAAAAAAACACACGCAGGTAAACTAGGTTAAATGAAGCCGTGACAAGAGAAGAGTATCACAAAGCCAACTAGTCTCCATTGACAAATATGAAAAAAGGAGAAGGCACATCAGAAAGCTTTATCATTTTCCTTATGAAAAGTCAGTATTAACTAGCCATGTGGATACAGCAAATACACAAAGGAAACACACATCAGTCTTCAAAAGGACACTATGGAAAGATTCATTTAGCAGTGATATAAAGTTAAGCCTGCCAAAGGATGTGAAACATCTCAGATATGGACACCTAAATGTACTAAAGATAAATTCCACACTTTTAAGTTTTACTAAATGCAGATCTCCACCTGACCACTGCACTACAGCTGCACAGAGCCACAGTTGCTCCAGTTCTCAGACTTTGCTGAAATAAATTTTGTATAGCAGAAGCAAAGCAACAGCTCAAAGGATGAATGCAGAGACAAGTGTACTGATTTTCTTCAGAATTCCAGCCACTAAACTCCCACTTAACACTGTGGTAGATGACAGTGACCGTGAAACAATTCCATCAAGTTCAAAACCAGTACTAAATTTTAGTATTTTAGAAGTCAAAATAAAGAGGAAGCACTTGAAGGGTCTTTAACAGTTCTGTGGTGTTAGACTACTCAGTTGATGTACAACTTCAAAACACATTTTTATGATGAAATATTATCACTTTCTGGTACACAAAGCACGAAGTCAACCTTTAAATTTTTTTTTAATATGGTAACACTAATCCATTGCTCTTCATAAACACAATGTGTAACATTTTATATGAAGGGCTTTTGCTTCTGTAATAAGACTAACACACTCTGAGCTTAGAGCCTCCGGTATTAGGCTGTAACTTTGAAAACAAACATCATTTGCAAGACTAAAAATCTTAATGCTTACCTTGTGCTTGATAAACATGACTCACAGACACTACATTTGCTGCAAAGGGTAAAAATATAAACACATAAAACCTTGGGAACATTTTGAGTAAATATTTAAAATATTTTTAAAAGTTACATAAACATAATATAAATAAATATTAAAAGTTATACAAATATAGGGAGAACCTCCAGCTAACACTTTCCCTCTCCTAAGTTTACTTCGCAAGTTAGAAAAGCTAAAGTGATTTTTATAGAAGGTGACTTTCTGGCATTTAAAGTTTAATTCCTCTTGAAGTTAAATTAAAAATTGGGAAAAATACTTCATTTCCTGAAACAAAAAACACGACACATTCCTGACACTGTTTATAGAACAAGTTGGTTGAAAGAGTATTATGAAAAATCAATTATACTTCTTTGAAAAAAGAAAAGTAAATTCTTCTCACTGAGTGCTTGTCCATACATGTGTGCACACACTACTCATACTTCTCTGTGACCAGGCACAGAGCTCATGAACTACACGGACAGCCCATGCAAAAAATGTCAGAGGTTAATAAATCCATGGAACATTCATGCACAGGGAATTACACTACACTGCCATAATTTGAATGGTTTAAGGTATGTATGGTTCACTTTCAAAAAGTGATGCTTTTTCACTAAAAAAAAAAGATGTGCTTACATATAACTCAAGTAATGTAATAATAACTCTGTGCATAATGAGTTGTCACATCTCTCGTGCAACCATGAACATGGTGAATAAAAAAGCCCCCTGAGAGAGTACAAGGCAGACTGATTTTTCAAATAGGGTCAGAAAACATTAAGAAAAAATAAAAAGGAGCAATAGATGCTACTACATTTTAATCTGTATGAGTGAATATATCTCAAAATACACCTGTTTACTTACTTTTGATAGCTAATTCATCCTTGAGAATATTTGTGTATTCTTCAGAGGAAAGCTGAGGTGGAAGGCCACCAACAAATAAATTTACTTGTACAATGGATTTACTGTTTTCCACAATGTAAAATCTTGTTTGATTCATCTGACGTATTGAAGTCTACCAAAATAAAGAAAAGTAAATTATGTGACATCTGGCAAAACTGTGAAACAAAATCTCAGATAGTTCTAAACTTAGCAATCAAGTTCTATGTCTAGAGAATATCACAAACAGAAGCAACATTCAGTTCAAGCACTTAGCTTCTCTACAGATGAGCCAGCTGGGAGGGCAACTGATTGATTACTTCTTCTGTAAGAAAGGAGACTCCCTGCTTGATATAAAGAAGAATCAAGTTTCTTTTTCAGATTTACCTTTCTTATGTCCTTGAGTCTGTTAAGAATCAGTTCCTGATTGTCCAAGACCATGCGCTGAACTAGAGACAGAAAGAACATTAATCGTATTTGAAAGCATTGTAAGTTATTATCAGGGTCAATTAAAAACTATACAAAAAATAGGGAAAATTCACAGCTCTGTGTACAACTATCATTAACATAAAGGACCAGGCAGAGCTGAACTACTCATTATTCAACAGAAAAAACATACAGGTGCTTTGAACACTCTGATTTTGTTTATAGTTCTTAAATATCATCCTCCTTTAAAAAAAAGCCAGAAACAGTTTGAAGCCACTCAAAATGCAAGCAGTACTTTGGCAACAAGCTGGGTGACAAGACTTTAAAACTGCATTCCCTGACAACTACAGGGAATTCTTAATTTTATTAAAGTATTAAAACTATTTAACAACTTCAGCTACAGCAAGGTTGTTAATGATGCTTTACAAGAGAGTACCCAAAACCAACCAGTAAGGTAAGACATTCACAAGGCTACAATAACCTTATAAAACAACTTACTGATAATGGTCACAAAGAAAGCAAAGTGTCAGACCAGTATGTCAACTACAAAGATATTTATTTGGGTGTGGCCACGGCATCATCAGACTCTTCAGTGGCTTTAGTTAACTTACCATGCAGCCTTACAAATAATGAAGCAAAAAGGGATGTGAACTTGGAGAACAACAGCTCAGCCCCTGCAGGATCGGAAACCTCCTGAGCAATGCTAGAACTGTGTATTTCCATATTTTGTAGTGTACAGAGAATGTGTGTGTATTATCTCAGGACTCAAATTTGTTCTTGTTTAGGAGAGCGGAAGGGGAAGGGGAGACAACTGAACTTATACAATTAGTTGTTACTAAGTGACTTAAGGCAGTTAAGAAAATTATGTCAGTTAAAGGCAGCTCGGAAAACAGGGTTCTTTGCTGAAGTGTCAATACCCACCAGAAACCACTAATAAACCTTTATGTGATGATGAAGAAAGAGAAGAGAACCATATTCCCACAGGAACACAAGACTGTAAAGAACCAATATCCTCATTAAGTATTTTAACATGATGGTGAAGTTTTGTTTGTAAAGGCATTTATTGTAAAAAATTAACTGTAACTGTGTTAAAAGGAAAAAAAAAACCCTAGAAGTTACAGATGTGCCTTTGGCCAATACTCCTCCACTTACCTTGCTTACTGCTCATAAGCACTTCCACCAATTTGAAATTCTTGAGGCACTCCATCTGCCAAAAGATGCAACATGTAAATATCGTTTCTGAATTAAATACAATTTTGCCAGATGTTTACGTTAACATTATCACAGAATCATCTAGGTTGGATAGGACCTTGAAGCCCATCTAGTACAACTGTTCACCTCACACTGACAGTTCCCAACTACAACAGATTCTTAATTGCTAAGTCGACCCAACTCTTAAACACCTCCAGGGATGGGGACTCCACCACCTCACTGGGCAGCCCATTCCAACAACTAACAACACTGTAAAAAAATGCTTCCTGACATCTAGTCTAAACTTCCCCTGGTGCAACTTGAGGCCATTCCCTCTTGTCCTGGTGCTTATTACTAGGCTAAAGAGGCTCATCCCCAGCTCTCTGCACTCTCCTTTCAGGGAGCTGTAGAGGGCGATGAGGTCTCCCCTCAGCCTCCTCTTCTCCAGACTAAACCCCCCCAGTTCCCTCAGCCGCTCCCCGTACGACCTGTGCTCCAGACCCTGCACCAGGTCCGTTGCCCTTCTCTGGACACGCTCGAGTCCTTCAACGTACTTTTTGGAGCGAGGGGCCCAAAACTGAACCCAGTCATCGAGGGGCGGCCTCACCAGTGCCGAGTACAGGGGTCAGATCCCTTCCCTGTCCCTGCTGGCCACTCTATTGCTGACACAAGCCAGGATGCCATTGGCCTTCTTGGCCCCCTGGGCACACTCCTGGCTCCTGTTCAGCCGGCTGTCAATCAGCACCCCCAGGTACCTCTCTGACTGGCAGCTCTCCAGCCACTCCTCCCCAGGCCTGTAGAGCTGCTGGGGGTTGTTCTGGCCCAAGGGCAGCCCCCGGCATTTGCCCTTAGTGAAACTCCCCCAGTTGGGCTCAGCCCATGGCTCCAGCCTGTCCAGGTCTCTCTGCAGAGCCTCCCTACCCTCGAGCAGATCAACACTCCCACCCAACTGGGTGTCATCTACAAACTGACTGAGGGTGCACTCGATCCCCTTGTCCAGATCATCAATAAAGATGTTAAACAGGAGTGGCCCCAAAACCCAGCCCTGGGGGATACCACTCATGACTTGTTGCCAACTGGATTTAACTCCATTCACCACAACTATGTGGGCCTGGTCATCCTGACAGTTTTTTATCCATCGAAGCGTTTGATTGTCCAAGCCTTGAGCAGCCATTTTTGCCAGGAAGAATGCTGTGGGAAACGGTGTCAATGGCCTTGCTAAAGTCAAGGTAAATTACATCCACAGACTTTCCCTCATCCAATCAGCAGGTCGCCCTGTCATAGAAGGAGATCAGGTTTGTCAGGCAGGACCTGCCTTTCATAAACCCATGATGACTGGGCCTGATCATCTGGGTGTCCCGCATGTGTTGTTTGATGGTACTCAGGATGAGCTGCTCCATCAGCTTCCCAGGTACTGAAGTCAATCTGACAGACCTGTAATTTCCCGGATCATCCTTCTGACCCTTCTTATAGATGGGCGTCACATTGGCCAATTTCCAATCAGTCGGGACCTCCCCAGTCATCCAGGACTGCTAGTAAATGATGAGAAGCGGCTTGGCAAGCACCCCAGCCAGCTCCTTCAGCACCCTCGGGTGTATCCCGTCTGGTCCCATAGACTTGTGTGTGTCTGTGTGATGCAGCAGGTCACTGACTGTCTTCTGGAATGCAGGGGGGTCGTTCTCTTAGTCTCTGTATTCTGGCTGTGGAGGCTGGATTCCCTCAATACAACTAATCTTGTTATTAAAGAATGAGGCCAAGAAGGCATTAAGCACCTCAGCCTTCTCCTCATCACTTGCTACCATGTTTCATTATGTTGTACACTGTACACAGAACATGGAAAATTAAACATTTTTAAATCAACCACAATGTACTTCCCCTAACCAACTTCTCCTGAACCAGGAATAATTTTCATTGTACACACTCAGCCTGCCAACACATGGCATCAGGCTCCTCCGTCCTTAACTAAGTTAGCATCATCACAGCCCCAGGATGAAGTGGTACCTGTGAAGCACGGTTAACTCTACCATCCCATCACACTGGAGTGACCAGCAGCTCGACTAGGATACTTCCAGACTGTCCTTTCAGAGAAAGTGCACAGGCCTAGGGAATGAACCCACATTCTGAGATGAACCAGGCTTGGCAAAAGCAGGCTGACCAGTCCCCATCTCCTAGGGCACTCCATTGGCACTGATGGAATGAAATCCTCTTCACATGCGCCACAGTCCTTTCTCCAAACTATACTGCCACGGACTACCCACGTCCCTTGCAGACAGATGAGATAAGCCAGCACAGAAAAGAGTTGAACCATTTATTAGGATTATCACAACCCTGGAAACGTGACACTCAGGACTGAAAAATTCTCTTAATTTTGGCCTTGAAACTCAGAGAATAAGTGAGTCTTACTTTACATGTATTAAAAGTGGCCTACATTTGCTTTGCCTGAAATTTGATGAGAACACTTGGAGAGGATCTTCAGTATGGGCAAATTCTGGATACTAAGAAGAGATTTTCTGTATGTGCATCTTCATGCAGAAAAAGGAGAAAATCCTTTAAAAAGCTATTAATATCAGAGAAATTGCAATTGAGCCAAGGAATTAAGTCTCTTACAACATAAAACTAGCTGGTGCTGTGCTCACAAGCCCCAACTGCTTGCTGAATGAAACGTGCACACTACAGCTTCATGCCTCCATATCTGTGTGACTGATTGAGCCTGCCAGTGCCTTGTACACTTGCAAGTTCTACTAACATGTTTCCTAAAAGTCATGCTATCTTGGCACCAACTGTAAGACAGACAGGCAAACTGAAAAGAAATCATCTTCCAAGAAAAACATGGGCATCTACAAGATTACAAGATTTATCTAATGATTTCCAATGAGGTGGACAGGAATCCAGATGATAAAGAATATAAATGCCATTCTGCCTTGAGTCCTTCCTTGTAGTCCTTGAGGACTACAGAGATGCTATCATCACTGTATGGAGAAAATTTGTGTCCAAAGTTGTATGTTCAAGCTGGCCAGCACTGTGAAGGACAACAAAAAGGGCTTTTTAAAATATGTTCATAGCAAAAGGAGAATCAGAGATAACATTGGCCCATTACTTGATGAGGTTGGTCACCTCACAAACAGGGATGTAGATGAAGTGGAAATGTTTAATGCCTTTGCCTCTGTCTTCAACACCGATGATGGGCCCTGGCATCCCCAGAGCCCTGTGTTGGAAGACTGTGGCTGGGGGAATGACAAACTTGAGCCGACCCTGAACTTATTCAAGACCTGATGCTCCAGCTGGATGCACATAAAATCTATGCTGCCCAATGGGACTCGTGCCAGGGTATTGAAAGAGCTGCTCAGTGTCATCATCGGACCTGTCTCCATTATTTTTCAATGGTTTTGGAAGGCTGGAAAGGTCAACTGAAAGCTGGCAAACGTTGCCCCAGTTTTCAAGAAGGGTAAAAAGGAAGACCCTAGTAATTACAGGACTGTCAGTCTCACTTCAGTGCCTGGTAGTATTATGGTGAAGGTTATTCTGGGAGTTACTGAAAAACACTTGAGAGACAACACAGCCACTGGCCATAGCCAGCACAGGTTCACAAAGTCCTGCTTAACCAACTTAATTTGCTTTTATAACAAGGTCACCCATCTAGTTGATCAAGAGAAGCCAGTGGATATGGTGTTTCTGGATTTTAGCAAAGCTTTTGAAACTGTCTCTTATAGTATATCCTTCTGGATAGCCTGTCCAGTACACAGCTAGACAAGTCCATAATACATTGGGTGATCAACTGGCTGACAGGTTGGGCTCAAAGGGTTATAGTAAATGGGGTTACAAGTCACCAGTGGGGTTTCCTAGAGCTTGATTTTAAGGTGAGTGCTCTTTAATGTTTTTATAAATGATCTGGATGCAGGAACAGAATGCACATTAAGTAGGTTTGCTGATGATACTAAACTAGGAGGAGCTGTGGACTCCCTCAAGGGTAAACAGGCCTTACAAAGAGATCTGGATAGGCTAGAGATCTGGGCAATCACTAACCATATGAAATTTAACAAGATCAAGTGCCAGACTCTCCACCTGGGACATGGTAATCTTGTTTATAAATACAATTTGGGGTACAAGAGGCTGGAGAACAGCCCCATGAAAAGAGATCTAGGAGTCTGGGTTGATGTCAGATTGAATGAGAGTTAACAGTGTGCCCTGGCACCCAAAAGAGCCAATCATGTCTGGGGGTATATCAAGCACAGCAGATAGCTGTGTGAGGGAGGGGACTGTCCCACCCTACACTGCACTGGTGTGGCCCCACCTCAAGTAATGTGTGCAGTTTTGGGTGCCTCAATATAAGAAGAATGTCAAACTAATTGAATGTGTTCAGAGGAAGGCAAACAAGATGGTGAAAGGCCTCAAAGGAAGGCTTACGAGGAGTGGCTGAGGTCACTTGGTTTGTTCAGCTTGGAGAAGGGAAGGATGAGGGGTGAGCTCATCATGGTCTACAACTTAAGAGGGGCAGCAGAGGGGTGGGTGCTGATCTCTCTCTGGTGACCAGTGATAGGACACAAGGAAATGGAATGAAGCTGCAACAGGGAAGTTCAGATTGGACACTAGGAAAATGCTTTTCACTGAGAGGGTGGTCAGTCACTGGAACAGGCTCCTCACAGAAGTGGTCACAGCACTGAGCCTGTCAAAGAGTTCAAGAAGAATCTGAGTGATGCTCTCAGTCATATGGTTTAGTTTTAGGCAGTCCTGTGAGGAGCAGGATCTTGGACCCAATGATCCTTTTGGGTCCCTTCCAACTTGAGATATTCTATGATTTCCTTTGCAGAGCAGTGCAAAGAAGAAGACGACAAGCATAATCATCCTAACAGTGATTGCCAGTTTCCCAAGAAGGTAAGATTAGCGATGTAATTACATACGAGTGTATTTTAAATAAGACATAAACAACCAGGAAAAATAATACTGCATGACAAGAATCATTGTGTTCATACAAGTAAATCTGCTTGACCCAGAAAGACAGATGGTAACTCATAGTACAGAGCAACTAGGTCTATCAAGACTGTAGAAAGTTTTGAGCATCATACCAGTCACAAGAGATAATCTACCAAACATTAACAACATTAGTGTGAACTGCAAATGGACTGATTATAATTTTTCCAAAGAGAAAACACACACCCTGCTCCAGGGTCACTCAAGTGATATATGGACATATTTATGATCTTTTGTTTACCTGCCTTCCAAGTAATGGAAGCACTTCTTTGATCACAGTCTGCGTAGTGCTATCCTTATTTACTCGTAGAGAAACATATGCCATTCCCACCCTAAAAAGAAAAGAAATACTTATTTTAATACAATCAGTTGACCTACCCTGTGTGTACCTTTTTCACCTAAGTGGCAAATTTTCTATGGGTATAGTCAGAAATTTGTAGTAGTTGAAGCAAGTTATTCACTGAGGCTCAAGGCAGATGCAGTATTAGCCCCACAGACAAAGACTTTCATCTCAAGAAACTGGTCATTACAATTGTAGCACCGCAAGTTAGTTTCTTCCTATACATAGAACTACCTGCAAGTCTTTCACAAAATTTGGCAATGTAGTTGCATTAGTAAAATGAAAAAGTGTTTAAATTTATCCCCACTGCTCTTAAGAAATGAATAGTCACCAGCCAGTCTTGTTTCCACTGCTAAATATGCTTAAAATGTGTATTTTCTCAGTTGTAAACGGAACAGATTTTTTTTTTATCTCCTACTGTCACATCAGAAGTTACACTGAATTCTTCCTATTTAATACTTCTTCCAAAAAACTATCAAGCTTTTAAGTGACGTGTATGTTATCATTTGTTTACAGACTCAGTTTACATAAAGTTGCATTTTCTTGGTCAAATGCATGATAATAGAACTGCACAAGTTACACAGTATATCCCAGGCATGTAAAGAAACCCACGAGCACATTTCCAGGCACAGAAATTAATATTATGTATATTACTTATTCAGAAAAATAAACAGAAGAATCCTGAAATACAGAAGAAACTACATTCTCTGTTCTACTTCTGCAGCTTCAATAACTTAAAACACATCAGGCTAGACTACAGATAACAAATGTAGCAAAGCAGGGTAACCTTGGTATAACGGAGGAAAACACTCACTTCAGCCAGGCAGCATAAATTCTGATCACTTCCTCATCCTTTGGTTTGGCTCTGATGATCCAAGCTTCAGGAACAGATTCGCGGAATACTGAGCCCAAGTTGCTGTCCTCTGCATCATCGTTCCTGTTGATAACATCATCAGACAGCAGCGCCTGCTGCGTAAAGGTCTGAAGCTCATACTCCTGCTGGTCATCATTTATGTAGTATGCCCTCAAAGCAGCCTCCTACAACCCAGCAAGATAAATTAAAATTTTCTTGAAAAGACACTGTTAATACCTGGATAGCCACAAACATTCATAAATACCTTACTTATGGAATCAATCTTTAACACGTGTTTTAGCACAGAACAGTGCATAAATAGCAATGGCAAAAAACAAAATGAGAGAAGTTTTGAAAACAAATTTCAGTAAAAATTAAGAAAACTTGAGATATCAATAGGTTTGACCACAGCCAACAGTACAGTCATTTTACCTCCACAGATCAAATGTAAAAATTCAGTACTAATAAAACGACACTCACTGCATGCAAAATTTGTTCCATGAGGAAAAAGGTAAATTACAGTTGATTGTGCCCAACTGTGCATATTCTTTCTTTTTGCACTAAGGGGATGCTGAAAATCAGTGAGCTTCTCAGACACAAGGCTGCCCAGAACCCACACCCCTGTGAACAGGAAATGTAAGGGCTGTCCTTGGAAGACGGAAGCTGTCACAGGAATTTTACATCCATTACTGGCCGATGCCTGAAGCACCTCTGCTAACACAGACACTGCAGTGAATACAACCCAGTAAGTCACTTACAAGAACTGTTATTAATATGCCCTGGTATTAGAAGCAGTAGCCTGGGAAAATGTGCTTGAAAGGCAAGTAGCAGTTCTAAATAAGTGTTTTCAGCATTATACATAATTTTTCTTGAAAATCTTTGACATGCAGAACACCACAAACGAATTTTCAAAACTCCTGTTGATTTTGAGCACACTGTCAAGATAAAAGTCTTAATGAACTGTAGGTTTAAATTGTAAAAATTCTGATGTAATAAATTCTGCAGACTCCTGTGCCAAGCCCTTTATGAATTTGAGTCCTCAACATGCTCAATTCTACTGCGCACCACCCCATACCCTCTCTGGACTTCATTTCTGTACAGTATGGGGCCTCTGCCCAGCCCAATACATTAAGATCTGTACAGAATATTTGATTTAGTATCAAGTCATGTTTTCACCCCAGATGGACCACTGGAAAACCTAGGGAGTGGCCACCATGTCATCAATAATTCATCACTTTCACAGCCAAGGAGTAGAGGAAACTATGGCATGCTTCAGTCTTCAAAAATGATTAACTGAAGTACAATAGTGGTGACTGTACAGGATAAATGTAAAACCACTAAATACTACAGAAGAGGAGAAAGATATAAGGACCTGATTATCCAGTATTGCTCACATCATTAAAATCAATCAGTGTCACACAGGGAAGAATGACTGCTTAACATGTGATGTGGTGTGGCCCCCATTATGCTACAGATATGTAAGCAATCACTTCTTCAGATGCTCTAAAATAAGAGCACTACATGAAGAAGTCAAATTACATTGTAATATTATAGCCCATTTACAGATCTTCTTGTCGTTGAGTTGACTTTTGTAATATGCACAGGTCCCTTTATCACACTAGAATATTGACCTTCACCATGTATCTTACCACAACTTCTTCATTTTTTGCAATCCTTGGAACTGAAATCAGTCGAAATTGATTGCGTTTCACTGCATCATTCCCATCAAATATCTTTAATGTTTGTTTACCTGAATGAAAACAATTACTGTATTTCAGTAACACACCCCTCAAATCATAAAGCTACCTGAATAGGAAACATATAATGAAACTATTAAAAACCTGCTTTTAACCCATATCACAAGCTCTGAGGCTGAATCTTTTCATTTTTAGTTTGTTACTCTTCATTTAAAACAGGAGTACATTTGCAGAGGAAAGTGGAAAGACTATTTCAAATAATCATAATTTAATCCTGGTTTTTGATAGAACTGTTTACATATAACTATACTACTTATGTTATCATTTCTTCATCCTCAGCATTCAAGACTGCATTTATTATTGACTAGTCCAACAACATGAAAACCAAGACAGAGTGTCATCACCTTCAGAACAGCTCCCAAAGCACTGCCAGTTCTGAGCTCCTCCTTCTGAAGAAAGTCCTTAAAGTACCTGGTTAACTGTACAGACAACAGGAGAAATACAGGAACAACAGAAAAACTAGAAGAAAGAAGGTACAGCAAATGAAGAACTATGACCCTTTGCTGTGTTTCATTTCACTAAAGTCTTATCAAATCCATGGTCAGATCACGGATCACATGTTGTTGCACAGACAGCTCTGAAAGGGTGAAGTGTTAAGGATTTTGGGGTAACTCTTCACAAAGATGAGTTAAGACTCAGTCTGGTATGGTCCACTGTATGACCAAGTTTATCTCTTATTTAAGTGACTATTTTAAGACCAAGAGCAAAGTATAACCAAATTTTCATAGAACAGGCAGTTTTGGAGAACTTTTAAGGACAAATGAACATTGTTGATCCAGTATGTGTGTCCTTACAGCCTATAAAAAGGAATCAAGTTAATTAATTCAAATCAAAAAGGAGATTCCAACAAGAAAGATATTGTGTCCTCTCCTGATCACATCTTTATGAAGACACCTGATGAGCTGTTCAGTTTCACAGGTTCTTTCATGTAATCCCCAGTCATATTTTACAACAGACGTGACTATTCTTCACAGACAGAGCTTGTCCTTTTTATTGCAGTGTTGGATTGAACTGTTAACAAAAGCCACTCTTTGTTACAGCACAGGGTACAGACTGATCTCATAACAAATCTGTATAACTGCATTCATCATAAAGTAATAAAATCACTAGAAGCTATCACTTGCAGACTTGAAATGTTAGAAATATTAACTGAAAGCCACATACATCAGCTGTAATGTCCACACAACTGGTTAATCATGCAGTGTGTTAAGACATATTATAAAGGAGAGATACATCACATGCTGGAGTCTACTTTCATCTTTCTCTTGCGGCTTAGAAATACTTTGTAGAATGGCAGAAAGAACTGAAAGCATTTTGCTTTCAAATAATATTGGCATTTGGGTTCGAATAACCACATTATCAAACTACCATTTGACACAGAAGAATCGAAAAGGAGAGCTGGAATTGGGGAAGCAAAAAACCAAACCACCCTAACTGACGGCTGAAAAATTCAAACTAGAATCCCAGGCAGAAATGCGCATCATTGGGTATCTCAATGCTGCACTGACATATTATGAGGAAAGGCTGCAACAAGTAACTGCTTTGCAAGGACACTTCAGTGATGTTCTGCTAGCCTTCTAGAGCCACCTGAAACTCAGGTACACTGTGTCTGACCTCAAAGGAGGTGATTCTTCCTCTCTGCTCTGCTCCTGTGAGACCTCACCTGGAGTACTGTGTCCAGCTTTGGGCCTCCCAACATAAGAAGGACATGGACCTGTTGGAGCGGGTACAAAGGAGGCCACAAAGATGATCAGGGGGCTGGAGCACCTCCCCTGTGAGGACAGGCTGAGAGAGTTGGGGTTGTTCAGCCTGGAGAAGAGAAGGCTTTGGGGAGACCTTAAAGTGACATTCCAGTACTTAAAGGGACTACAGGAAAGATGGGGAGGGACTCTGCATCAGGGAGTGTAGGGATAGGATAAGTGGTTAACAGTTTTAAACCGAAAGAGGGTAGATTAGATCTAAGGAAGAAATTCTTTTGTGTGAGGGTGGAGAGGCACTGGAACAGGCTGCCCAGAGAGGTTGTGGCTGCCCCTGGAAGGGTTCAAGGCCAGGTTGGACAGGGCTTTGAGTAACCTGGTCTGATGGAAGGTGTCCCTGCCCATGGCAGGGGAGTTGGAACTAGATGATCTTTAAGGTCCCTTCCAACCCAAACCATTCTGTGTAGGGAGGACAATTAAGCAAATAGCAGTATCAACAAGCCAGGACTTCAGGAGAGCAGACTTTGACCTGCTCAGGAATCTGCTTGGAAGACTCCCATGCGATACAGTCCTGAAGAGAATGTTGTAAAGGGCCTCAGGCAAGAATGCACCCAAGGTCAAAATTGCTGTAAGGGGCTATAGACAAGATGCACCCAAGGACATAATTTTTGCAACTGTCATGGGTACATCCTGGGGACGGCAGATAAATGAGCTGACACCTGTGGAAACCAGATAATGAACCTGAGAAACTTTACAGAATGATAAGACAAGACAAGACCTCATATGAAAGAAAGACTCGAGGGTTCATGGAAAGGACACTAAGAGACACCTCTTCAACAACCATTAGGGACCAGCACAGACCACCAAAAACTCCCATGGAAGCCCCTCAGACACCCTTCCCCAAATTTTAGTACACTTGTGCTATATATTAACATATGCATTAGATTTTCTGGAAATGAGCAGGTACTTCTCAGAAACTGCACAAGTATTCATTTGTTTTACTGTATAAATTGAGCATGCCTTTGTCTTTTGGCATGCACATTAGGTGGAGCCCCATGCATCTAGTGGTGCAATAAAGAGAATGCCTGCTTTTCAATGTTACATTGGTGTTAAGAGGTTTATTCCTAATTTCAATGACAAGAGGTGGTAGTGGATTTTCAAGGATTGCCTCCTCCAATCTCAAGAACTGTCCATCCCAACACTCGGAAAAACTCAATCCCACTATCTGTCATTGATGAAGATAATAAATATTACAGCACTGGGCCCAATACGGACCCTTGAGGACACCATTTGTTACTTGTTTTCACTTAAGGCATTGATCTGAAAGAACAAAGGGATAAGCAGGAAGCAAAAGAACTGAAATCCTCTATGAAAGTCAAATTGAAGAATCAAAAATCACTGCCTTTCTAAACAGTATCCACACTCGACAGATCTTTGGGCTTCTGGTTTTGCAGGTTTACTTCTGGCTCCTGTCAAGAAGGATGAACTCTGGAAGTGCAGCTCTGATTTCTTCTTCCCTGCATAACTATGCCTCAAGTACTCTTTTGAGTGTAGTTAGCTGAAATCTTTTACAAAATCTGTTTAAAACAAATAATCACAATTTCCACATACGATGTACACTCTTTACAGCAAAGGAGAATTAATTATTCTACTGGAGAAGAGTGGTCAGAATGTATAATACAATACATCAGGACTTTTCAAGTATTTTTTTAGAATCTGAAACGTATTATCAAGTGGATTTGGCTTTTCAGTTTTCCAGTTAATCAACTTAGTCGTTGCCAAATTTTTTTTAGTTACAATATGAGGAACATTTAAATATGATCAACTCTCACTTCTAAAGTATCCTTGAAACTCTACTGTCGTTGCACTGAGACTACAGCACATGCCAGAAAGCCACTCCTTCTGGATTTATGTCAGAAAAAGTAAAATTCTTTTAGAAGCAGATTTCTCTCAGAGTGATCTCCATGGTGACTTTAGCATAGACAAATTTTAACCAAAACTCACACTGTGTCCTGGGTGACATTCTTCAGGGCTAACACAACTTGAGAAAACACAGCAAATGCTGGTTAGTGACAGCACAGCCAATGTTCTGAGTCTGAACTTTCACAACATTATCAAAATCTCTACTGTTTTCTCTAGCAAGGCAGAGGGTAGACATCCATCTGAGAATAAAAACATTCATCCAAGTTTTAGTACTTGATTTAATTTGAACTGCCTTTGTAGTCTGCTCTTGTTAGATACTAGCTGGCCTGAGAGAATCCCTAGAAATTTTAACTGCAGGCTTTTTTTTAATCGGTGCTCTACTTCTTAAGACCAGCCAAATGTTGCAAGAAGTTGGCTAGACTCTTAAAATAAACCGTTTTGCAAAGAGTTTAGATCTACAGACCAGTAATAAGTAGGCTCAAATACATTCCTTAGCTAAATACACAGTATGTTCAGTCCCTATTTCCTCAAGATAATCCATTGTACAAAACAAGCTCAATTTATCAGTAAAAAATCATGTTTAACTTTGTCACTGATCCTCACAGGGGACACTTTCACTGCAACCTGATGAAAGATGGCTTTCTTATACATGAGCTTCTGATAACACATTAATAAAAGAACAAACAGGTACTTATTTGACCACAACGAGTCATCCAGAAAACACCAATGTATTCAAGTGTACATCCACAACCTGAAAGTTAAGTGGTGTCTTATGCCAGTTTGATTTGTCTAGCTAGTCTTGGAAAGAAGCACAACTATAATCACTTTCAAAGTTAGTTAAAGCTCTTTCTCCCTCCTGTTCCAATTTTTAAATATTAGAAAATGATCCAGTTATAGAAGTGAAGTCTACATACCACTACTTAGTATAAAAAAACCTTGCTAATATGCAAGAGATGCACATAACAAATTTTGGTATTTAAGGAAATTACAGCCTGTTTAATAATATTGACACTTCACTGTCAAACATCTTTTATCTTTTTCTGTTGGATCAGACTACACAGTATCAGGACTTTTTCCTGAAAAAACACATTACTTTTTTTCTTATCATGGGATACTGAGTTGAAAAAACCCTGTTCTTCATGTTTATGCTTTTCAAGGGAAAAGAACTACAAAAAGGTCAGCTCCAGGCATAATTTACCAAACAATGGATTTTTAGTTCGGAGGCTAAGATATCAAGTTTTCTTGGGAAAAGGATAAACAGCATTTGATGAGTCCAAAGCTCATGAACTTTGACTTCCAAATCCCCACAGACAGGACACAGCTTATGAAAAGACTTATGTGTGGCTTGTGGCTCAGATAGGAAAATGATGTAGTCCTGAATGTTTCTGCCATTGAAGAAAGCTAGAGGCCTACATCAAACATGTTGGTGGCATTTACTCTTAAAATACTAAATTTTAGCAACCACTTACTAAGAACCATTCTACCCAACAAAACTTGTGCTGTCCATGCACTTTCTGTTCTCCTTCTCTAGTGACTGCTACTTCAAATTACAACAGTGTGGACTGCCAAATTTGGGTTATTTCAGTATTACTATTCACAACTTACAAGGCAGCAATAGAACAGGTAAGAATTGTATATTATTTCTTCTACTGGTGTTACAGAGTCTTTCAGAATCCTAGACTGTTCCTCTCTCCAGCTGTTCCTCTTCCAGGAGACCCATTTGCAGCTGTGTCACTTCCCTGAATTGTTTTCATGAGCAGCTCAAATCCCTCTAGTTCCAAGAGAGTTTTGAAGCACCAAGCTGTGTTAATAGCCATCATCCGACACTGGTAGCCACCTCTTCACCATTCTTCTGCAGCACAGTCTTTAGAACTTCTCCAAGCATCTACTGTATGTATTGCTACTTGATCTGATTTAACCTGCTTCTTCCTCTAACTTTAGGGCTCCAAATCCATTTAAATCATGTTTCACAGGAACATGTGCAAGCTTAGTTAGCTCGAAGTAGTTTGAGCAGAGTACAATGACCTTTTTCATGAAGCCTGGACATTTTCATAAGTATCTTTAGAGGAAAAATCCCTCATATCCACACATGCTGTCTTTGCTCCTTCCTGAAAACAGTTTGTTCCTGCTTGCAGAATTACAGTGAATGTCTCCTTCACATTGTCAGCAAGTTTGGGACAAGACACAAGCAAGCCCTATGCCAATGACTTTGGTCTATCTAAAGAATATTTTACATCCCTTACTCAGCAGGTCAACAGCTACCTGAGCAGAGCACTGCCTGACAAAAGAGGGGTTGTGGAAGGATATGCTCTGAAAAGTATGTTTGCTGACAGCACCACAGCCCCCATTTCTCTCTTAAGACTCCTCTAAAACTTCCTTAAGAGAGGGTTTTTCTCCTGATGGCTGCATTTTGTCCTATGGAAGATAAGCACACGTTGAAGCAAACAGTTCACATGCAGCCAGTGAGTGCTGAGACAGGACCATGACCTTCACTCTTCACATGTCTCTGTCTGACAAAAGGGTTGCACACATACACACAGCCAGAAAGTCCGTTGAGCCCTCAAGATACCTCTCGAAATGTGTCAGTGCAAATTTTCAATGGGCTGCTATGGAGGAACCGTACACAAGCATCAAGACTAGCAGAATGTTAAAGCAAAGAGAATGCATAATCACAAAAAAAAAACCCCGAAAGCATGGATCTCTATGTCATACTTAAGTATTTATGGTTAAATGTCTGATTTGACAAGACTTATCATAAGGACCAGTAAGGCAGGGAATAAATTAATACTAGTTAGTAACATTTGTGAATCTTTCTCCATAGTCTTCTGGCAATGATGCTACAGAACTACAGGAGATTTCTTTCAACTTTTCTTCTTTAATTGTTCACTGTTAATTGTTCACTGTGTAGACAAGTCCTTGGAAGCTGGCTCATGGTCTCAGACACAAGGATTTATACTTCTTTCCAAACCTGCTCTGTGAGGCTGTTAGATCTATGACTTCAGAAAGTGTAGGGTTGTGTTTGTGCTTTTGGCTTCAGTATCTTGGTAGGGTAAGATTCATGGATGATTTAACATATTTAAGCTCCCAAAATTAAGACTTGTATCTTCTAACTTTACTCTTCACTCAACAAGCCTACTACAATAGCAAAGGAACAAAAGGGACTAATCCAAATTTTCTTCCAGTATTAATCTACAGACTCTGCATCCTTTTTTACTGGCTTCCTTCCTATGAAACAGCAAGTCTTTACTAGTCAGTATTATTCAATTTGTTCTGACTTATTTTCACTATTTTTTAAAAATTTGCATCTGTAAATCATGGAGAGCCAGAATTAAGAAAAGCTACTCTATTCTGGTATGTAATACAGTTCTGACACTCCTGAGGGAGAGCATGGCAACATTCCAAAAGATGTGGCAGATGTACTCAGTCAAGACACAGAAGCTAATCACCAGCACACTCTTGACCCGTATTACACAAATGGTATTACTAGAGATATGTGTAGGCACTACAGCCGTGCCTCTGTCATGTTTAACTAGATAGGGTATGACTACACACACACACACACACACACACAAGCACAATGGCTGGCAGGTGAACCCCAATAACTTTGTCAGAGAAGTTGTCAGAGAAGCCATGCCCTGCCTGGTTGCAAGGGCATCAGCACCATGGGCTGGGGCTGGCACCCACCAAGTGAGTGTGCAGAAGCTCTGCAGGTCACCTCACCAACTGATGAGGTTGCTCAGGATGTGGGGCTCTATGAAATGCATGGGAAGAGCATTCTGGGATTGTACAAGAGTTGTTAGGGGATGTTTAGGGGAGAAACCGAAAGCAGGGGAAAGAAGGGATCCAGGTGGTTTGTGGAGGAATGAGTATGGAAAAATAGAGGGATAAGGAGATAAAAGAAGCTGGCAACATGTAAAGAGGTTGCTAGCTGGTGCGCCTGCCAGCCCATGCCCTGCACCTGAGCAGCACAGTCTGTCCTTTCTTCTCATTAAACATTGTTTCCCACTCTTTTTGTGGGTGTAGTTTCAACTCTTTTGCATGCATGTGTGCATACAGGTTCCTGAATGTAGCAGCTGAAGCAGGACTGCAGGACCCATGTGTCCACAGTGCCAGCAACCACAGTGACAGTTGTAGCATGAGCACCAGCAAACATTAGGTTAGATTCACAGACACGCAAGGTAAGGGGACTGGGAGCCATGTGTGCATCCATGTCAAGTGAGGCATCTCATGGAGATGACTACTGGAGTGATCAAAAGGTCCAGGATGACTGCTGGGCCGACTGTAGGGGCTGGAGGTCCACCAAAAGACCTAGGAGGGGAGGGGGTCTGTGTGCATAGATGTATGCACACATACATGCACACAGCCACACACACATGTATATATATATACACATATATATGTATCAGAATACAGATATGTATACACACACACACACACTTTCCCACTAAGAGACCTTCACTGTGCTCAGCCACAGAAGGGACAGGATGCTGCTGGACTCTACACTGACCTCTGTTTCATGAAAATGTGTTAAAGAGGAAGCAATTTGTTTTAATGCCACTATAATGATTCTTTACATAAGCCTTGAAAATGTACCATCTATTGCTGCTTTCTCCGGTCCACAGAGGGACATTGTATATGAACAAAACCCACATTAACGTTTGTATCCTGTCCCCAATTTTCATATCTTTTTTACCTCTTTTGGGAATGCTGTCTAAAGCTGACCTGTCCTGTACTTTCAATCAATCTAGTTGAAATATTTTGATACATAATTTACTCTGACAGTCATGAGTAAGGGAAATAGTCTTAGCTGGTGAAGTATAAAAGTCCTGACATAAAGTCTTAGCTGGTGAAGTATAAAAGTCCTGACATTCAAACACTTATGTCACTTACAACACTGGAAAAAGCCAAAGTTTCTTAGGTAAACAGCAGTTAGTCAGAGCCTGGTCCCATAATAAGGGACCAAAGTGGTGGATCATAACTTTGAGTCATTAAGACACACCAACTTCAAATTTTAAGACATGAAGTAAGAGCATGCTTGATATCACTTCCATCACTGAGTTAATTATTTACTGAGCTGGATTCCTTTAAGAATCCAAACAGCATTGTATAATTGTCCTATTAATATGCTAAGAATTTTAGGCTAAAAAAAGGAAAAGAAGTCCTATTTATTGATTGGAAATTTCAGTTTTTACAACAATCCATGCAGCCACATTAGGTCGCAAGTACCATGGTTTTTCAGTTACTAATATGGATACAGTGGGTGGGATGCCCTTAAACTGTTCTTGGCTTAATCTTCTGAAAAGTAAGAGTTTGGCTAATACCAACCCCAGAAAACTCCTTATGTCTAAGAATTCAACTGCATAAGCAGCAACCGGTCTGGCTCAATCCTGATGCACAAGAGTACATTTACTGCAACATGACCAGGAAAACAAAACAAAACAAACAAAAAAACCACCTGGTGTCTTAAAAGAAAAAGGTTTTCAAAAGACAAACTGTCTGACCTTTAAATTGGTTACTTATCTATGGATTGACAGATTAACACCATACTTTTTCTTTGATTACCAAGTTGAGAGAAATGATCTATTTGTCAGGGTAATGAATAGATTGTCACTTATGCCAATCTATCAGTGGAAAATAGTGATAAGATACTTGTAAGACCCTGGATAAAAGTGTTGGACCAAAACTCTGGAACTCAAATTGATACCTAGCATTAGGAAAACAGCCATTTAATAGGTTTTTGTAAGGCAAAGCAAGTTATGATTATATGAATAAAGACTGTAATGCATGACTACGAATAAAGACTGTAATGGATGACTATTCACCACTTACTAAATTCTGCTTACTTGAATCTGTTGAAATTTGGACATCTTTTGCTGATCCCTGTGTTGACCCATCAACATCATCATCTTCATCTGTGAAAACAAAAACATTTTAAGAAAGGAATCTTGTTAATTTGAACTAGAGGGGGAAAAAAGTGTTTATCATTTAAGGATGGTTTCTATCAAAGAAGCTAACACAAAAGAATCCAGTCAGAAAAGCACTGTTTCTTCTTCTGTCTCTTTTATGATAATAATCCATACTATAAAAACACCATTAAAAAAAACCCCAAACCCTGCATTGTCATATAACTACAGTGAAGGCATACCTGAAGTCATTCCATTATTAGCTTAAATATTGCAACTACTGCATTTCATCCCTTTCTCAAGCTGCAATGCTTGCCTTGTGACTAAAGTATAGATTGCTTTCCATTAAGTTTTAAAATACCAAATCAGTCCAGGAATTGCAGTAACAGCTTTCTAGTCCAGTATGTAGGTATTATATAAATAATTTCCATAACTGAAAAACAGATTTGTTCACACCCAAGGAGAAAGAAGGTACTGCACTCCAGAAGAGAACTTCGACAGCAGCTCACTGCTCTCACTAAAAGCTAGGAGCTAACATGTCAGATAACAACACAGCCTGTAAAATCACACATAAAATACTTAGAAAATATGAAAATAAAAGCTATTAACATTTTCACTTGCTTCTGTGAAGATAACATTCTGACTGCATTCTCATTCCTGACACTCAGGTCCATGCAGGAAGACTGGTGCAAATCCAAACATGACATTTCTAATTCTTTACGGTTAGTAGTGGTGTGCAACATAAGGCAATCCAGTGCACTGATCATATAACATTATTCATACTCCTACCCACTGAAACTCCCAGTCAGTCTTCATTGGGATGCAAAGGTCCCAAAAGCTATAAGCCAGGCAACAGCTTTATAAGAAACTATGCCTTGAAGCTGAGCAAGAAAACAGGAATCAAAGCACAACCAAGAGAGAAAAAAAAAAAAAATCAGTAAAGACCGCTCTTCAGAGCTAAACAGGTACTAGGGAAGTCAGAAACCTAATGCAGAAAAACATCCCAAGAAGCAGAATTGCAGCATGTTAACAAGGGTACTTAGCAGAGTCCTGAACTGGAGACCAGATAATTTACTAAATATTTGGGTACTGCTTCAACTGACTACAAGACAGACCAATATAATGTTTCTGGGTTGGGATTTTTAAAATCTAATCGAAAGGCTGAAATACCTTCCCTGTTATAGTTGTCAGACAAACAGATTAAGTTTCAGATTGGAGAGAAATCTATACAACATGATCTTGAGACACACCCTGAAATAAATGGAAGCTGAATTCCTTTTTGAATTTCACTGCAGATAAAATAAAATTTTTAAAAAAGTAAATACAACAAGAAATGAAAGAATTCCTGACTGCTCCCAAACCTCCCCTTTTTCTAAGTTTAGATGGGAAAAAGCTGACATTTTTAATTACTCTTTCTCCCTCAGTCTGGACAGTAGGGAAACATACACAAATAGCATCTTGATACTATTCTAAAGAATAACTCCTTTTGAAATACACTAAGACAGGGGTCTGTTGGAGGAAGGGGAGAGAACTGGCCTATCATTGCTTCCCGCTAGTAGCCCAGGAGTTTTGAAAAGCCACTTTCAGCACAGAAATGTTCACTGAATGTTGGCCATGAAGCTTACCATTTACTCAGTGGCAAAAGCTAATCCGGAAAAATGGCCCCCAGTAGGTCAATGATGATGTGCTTATTCTCTGTCTAGGACAAGTCATCTGGCACTTCCCAACCATCAGCTTGGGAAGAGCTGTGCCTGCAGCAGTTAACTAATCCAAGTGACTACCACAGATCTCCTCTGAGAGACTGTGAAAAACAACTTGTAACTTTCTGAAACAGCGCTTGAGAGAAACAGGCATGTGAAAAACGGAGACTGAGCAAAACAGCCAGAGAAGGAGAAAAGGGATGGGAGGAAAGCAAAAGCCCTCTGAGCCAACGAATGTCTCACTTCACAAGTAATGAAACTATAGTCACAGGTGGATAGTGTGCAGTTTGGAGCTGATAAGGCGGCCTGGATAGCACAGGATGCGGCTGGAGGAGGGAGCCCTGTGAAGGCAGGATGGTTCCACTCTGGTGCATCTTGTAAAGTTTCAAGGGCCATCTGTCCAGTGAATGACCTTTGCTTCATTATCCACAAAGCGCATATTAAAGTTCACATCCCTGCATATGCTAATGAAGATTAACAAGATCATGCTAATTACATCACTCCATGAAGCACCTTACCCCTCCCCATACATGGGATATGTAGGTATGTGGGCTGACCTAGGGGATGGACCCAAGGAACATGTGTATAAATTGAGGGGGTGAGGAGTGAGATATAGAAAGGAATGGAGTGGAGTGGGAGTGGAGTTGAGTGAAAGAAGACAATGCATCCTTGAACACTCAGCAGGACTGATGCATGAACCCAGACCAGTGATTTCTATTTTTACCTCTACCTCTCTTATTTTTTATTTTTCCTTATTATCATTAGGTAACACACTTGCCATAATTCATTACATACTAAGTCAACTATTGGGTATCCAATTAATACACGTGGGAAATTAATAATAAATGTTTGGACTTTGAGACTTGTTTCACCATTGTCCACTCTGTTGGGGATTTACGAATCTAAGTCACTCGTTCCCCTCGTTTGAGTGAAACGTGACAGCAATGCTCTTTGTGAGCTGTGGCAACAGAAAAGCACCCTCTGTGCATGCCACTTCTGAACAAGCGTGCCTGCACAATGCACCACACAGAAGTGAGAATGTCAGTGCTAATTATCCTCCAATAGAGCTGAAATTCTCCTTGCTCCCCAGAAGCATCTCCAATGTGCATGCATTCTTTAATGACATCTGCCATCTGAAGCCTACGCCTTCCCCTGGAAAAGCCAAACCAACTCCCAGGGCAGCTGTCCCAAGCTGCTCCATGGTCAGATGAGCTTCAAATATGTCCTGAAGAGTGTCAGGGAGCTGATGGACCCATGACATGTCTCACTAACTTTCAGCACATGCCAGAACCTAGTGGGATTTTGCAAGACAATGCATGTCTGTTCTATGAACATGGGTAACAAGGAGGACTACCAGGTCAGAACACTGAGCTCCCTCAATGCAGGATGATGTGAGAATTAGTTTAACACAAACTCCCAGCTCTGCCTTTAAGGAAGAATCTGGGCACAGGGAAAGTCCTGTGTAGCGATGGTATTTGATGCCTTTGGCAGGGACCTGCAGACAGCTGATCTCCAGCAGACAACTAAGAGCAGCAAAATTCCAGCAAAAGGTCCTAAAGTAAGCCTCAGTAGTATGTGAACGGTGTAACAAGGAGCCACGCATAATGGGACCAGACTTGTATCTGAGCATTAGGGACAGTAATGTCACATACTACCACCAGCTGAGGAAAGACAGAACAAAACGCCTTATGGACAGCAAACTGCAAGGCAGGTAGGCACCACACTGCAAGTATTATTCTTCATGTCTTGTGCTGAGCTACAAGCATGGACTATTAACCGTGAAACAAGGAAGATGTCAAGTGCTGGGCCAGCCATCAAGTTCAGAGCTACATCTGGGACCAGCAGCAGGAGGAAAGGGGAGTATCCCCATAGCTTGGCGCCTGCACCCCTGGGGTCAGCAACCCCTCCACCCTAGGAAGCCACAGCGCACTGTACAGCAGCGAGCTGAGCCCAAGGAACAGAAATTCTCACAGACCAGCAGATAAGAGATCTGTTGTTAGAAAAGAAATTTTTCAGGGAGTTGCTATATTTTATCTGGATATATGCAGACTGAGTGCTATAGAAACACATTCTGGCTTTCCAAATGTGGTGGATTTTCTTATTCTTTTTTTCATGTCGCAATAAAGCACTGGAAATTTTCTAAATTAGGTTACTGAGTATATGTCCTTTCCCGTGCATCTGTTTCTGACCACCAGATAATGACTGATCTGCACTGCATTCTCTCAATTCAAAGTAAAAACCATATATTTTAATTAAAGGAATGCAAAAACATTATTACTTTGAAAAAGCTTGAATATGTGTAACATGAACTCATACACTTAAAACATAGCCTAAATCCTGAAATGAAAACTTTCTCTTCCACCATGTAGAATAATGAAGGGACTAGAAGGGGCAGCTATAACCTTAGATTCTTTCACTTAAGGTGGTCCATGTTCAATTTTTTCTTAGAGGTGATTTAAAAATTAAAGGAGGAAAAAGTTTAAGTCTATATTAAAAGAACACACCACTGTTTAAAAGACAAACTTAGTTTCAACATCAGAAAAGCCACACCTGAAGAGGTTATTTAAAAGGTTTGTGATTAACTTCTGTTAATAATAATAATAATACAACTTTATCTTCACTTAAGCCTTTGGGACACTTGTAGAATACCTAACAGACCTGAATCAAGGTTCACAACGAGTCTTCCAGCAAAATCAAGCTCATCCAGATTGTTTATTTCTGGTACTTCTTACATTGGAAGCATTAAGAACTCCATGATTTTCAAGTATGTGTTGTACTTTACCTTTCCCCATGAAAAAGCAAACTCATTAAAAAGAAAAATAACTCCCTGAAAAAACCATGCCAGCCAACAAAACCCTTGCCCTTCACGCTTTTAGAGGTCACTTCAGTGTATCAAGATTATACAGACTTAGGGTCATGCAGTTTACGCAGCAGCAGGACTCCTGCTATAGCTTCTGCACATGATAACTCATAGCTCCTGCTAGTGACCAACTGCCTTCACCAAAACCAAACCTGCATGTTCAAAGCAGAAAGTTCAAGAACAACCTGTCGAGAAAAGTGCACTAGCAAATATTTAACCTTCATGACCTATATTTTGCCCTCCTTTTATTTGTCTTCCTATTGTTTTCAAGCACGAAAAGAAAGGCTTTACAAGAATATAATAATCAAAATATAAATTAGAAAATACTTCAGCAACTTAAAAAATACTTTTTCCTAAAGACCTGTTAAAAAACATACACTCTAGATGGCAGCAGAACATCACCCTGCTCAATACATGATTTCCTTTCAGCACAGAAATCTTAAAAGGGCAGATGCTTAATCAGAGGCAAATAAAAATATCTGTATACATGATATGCCAAATAAAACCCAACATGTATATCAGCAAGTGTTTGTAGCAATGATAACACTAATCTGTCAAGCAAGTTTTTGGATTTTAGGTTTTAACTTTCTGTGTGCTTAGTATTTAAAGAACAGTTTTCAAATTGCCCTGCACCAGTAAACAGAAGTTTCAGTATTTTACACAGTCTGTATTAAAAAATTTCTATCCTGTCTCAGAAGTAGCAGGAAGTTACAGTATTGCCACAAAAGCCAGTGAAAATTAACAATCTTATGCTTCAGTGAATTACACCACTATGTTAAACATGCTCATCAATTAGTTGCATCCAACTTTGACAGTTGTTACCTGATTCTGTTTGTAAATTTTCTGATATTCGGAAACAATGCAGTTTGCTGAAGTTGCGAGAAAATAATTGCACACAGTTTGGAGGAAGAATCATATTCCTTAATCTTCCAAAAGTACATTCTGGTGTGACAATTATGTAGCAAGCAGAATGAGCCTATAAAATAGAAGCATCAATTAAGACCTTAGGGACAAAGAAAGCAAATTTGTTTGTAACAAAATATGCAATGGGATTGCAAAACTCAGGTTATGACACATACAGACCTTTTGTAATGCATTTTCATGAAATAAGCAACATTTTCCACCCTAGATTTTAATTTGTTTCATTCTGTTTTTATATAACCAACAATGGGAAGTCTTAACATGAAGAAACACCAAGAACTACAAACCTGCTCTATTAAAAAACTAAAGGTTTTTGTGCAGCACTGTGGAGAAATTTAAAGTTTTGGTCTCAAACCCTGCAGCTTCCATTCTATACAGATATTTACTGGGGAAGGTGGGAAAGGTAGGCAGATTATACTAAATAGCTTGAAAATAGCAATAGCCTATTACACAGCTGTACCCACTTGCGGAGTTAGAGAGAACACTATTTGGAGTTTAATTCCAACACATGGCTAGTTTCCACCTTCATACTCGAGATCATCTGCCATTACTGAATACGTATACCTTTGTATGTGTGGCCATATACATTATATTTGTTAGAGTGTTCTCAAAGACAGCCCCTCCCACCTCAGAAATTATGAATCGGAATAAAAATACAAAACCCATAGTATTTTTTTTTAATTAAAATTATTCAAATCATACCTGAAATCTGAATAACCTCAGAGTTTCATTTTAAATTATTAATATATTGAGTACCTCATCCTGCATCAAGTGGTCAATTAATAATTTCTTACATATACTTTTCAGTTCCCATTCCATCTTTGTTACTTTGTTATTTTTGCTACTTTGCACTTCCATCATATTTCAATAAGAAGTAGCATTAAAGTGTACTGATCAATTATTATCTACACAGCAGTCTGAGTATCAGTACGTGAAAAGCTGTGGCTTTCATGAAGATTATTGACAGGTACCGTATCGTGCTGCGCAGGAATCAAACATGCATCACATGAAAGCATAGAAATCAATATTGACAGCTTAAAAAACCCCCAATGACGCAGGTTAAGAACTATTCCACAGTGAAGGAGGAATAAGCATATTACAGTGCTAAGTCTTTGACCTTGCAGAATTCACGTGATCTGAAAGAAATTCTGATCTCACACAGAAAAAGTAACTGCAGGCTTCTAAGTAGAGATGTATAGATTAGTCCCTGTTAAATTTTAATTCCATTGGATTTACGTAAAATTTAACTGTGATTGTGAGAATTGCTCATTTTAATGACTAATAGGGGGAGATTTAAAAATCAGATTTTACATCTAACACATAAGTATGTATTTATTTATATAAGTGTATAAATGAAGTGTATTTATAAAGTATACAAATAAAGTATATGTGTATAAAAGTGTTTAAATAAGCATGTGCATATATACATAGGGTTTCCACAAATACATGCAACAGCACAACATACCAGGATGCCACACCATTCACATCTCATGCCAGAGAGCACCTCAGAAGAGCCACAGGTTTTTTTGCAAACTTCGCAACGAGCACTTGAAGAAAGGTTTCCCTCCCTCCAGTGGTGGTGATAAGTATCCTGGGGGAACATGTCATGACTTAGTGTTACACAAAACAGATACAGAAGTGTCTTCAACCTAACTTTAAAATCAGCAGTTCAAACAGCTCTGAGGAAACAGCAACACAGACTAGGACATTAAATGTTTTCTCACTATAAATATGAACCTGAACAACTTATATTTCCCTGAAATAAGTTTATCAAACTATCAAAAAACCTATCACATAATGCTTTTTCTTCACAGTCCACCAAAACCAATATTCTTTAAAAAATTAGTGAAATATAAGGCCAAGACTCCTCCCCCCCCTCTGACCCATGTTTTCACACCGAAAATGCATGACCACATTCTGCTGCAGAGGCACCCACACTTACATGCTCCTGGTGCCCATCCTGGTGACACTGACGGCAGTCACTGCAAGCAAACAGGATACAGTCTGTGTGCACATGTAGCTCACAAACTAAAAGCATGAAAAAAAAAAAACAACTTCTTTAAGCTGGAAACCCCACATTTTTTGCAGTTCCTTCCGCTCTTCTCCACCCCTCCAATACTCCTCCACTACCTTTTTGCACAATGCTTTCTTTCCTTTATGCTCTTCCATGCATAAGACAGGCAATAAAAGAAATTTATCAGCATTGTCCTGTGTGTTGCTCTATTTCCTTTGCGTGAAACAGATGCAGCAAGTATAAGGGAAGGCTGAGCTAATTTTGTTCATAAGCACTTGCCATATTTTCTCCAGTACAGCAAGTTAAATTTGTAACAACTGTTTGGTGAATTACAGCTTCGTCTCAGTTTCACATGAGCTGCTGCCTACTCCAACATAATGTGCCTGAAGTCTACTTTGATTTAATCTAATCCAAAAGAACAGATTGTTAGAAGCATTAACAGAAAGAAAGTTGTCCTTCTGCATCCAAATACCACCAAGTCTTGAGTGTAAAGTAATTGTGTTCCTGAAGCAATACTCCATTCCCTTTACAAACTCTTCCAAACCCTACTGCAAAGCAAGCAGGCACTTCATGAGAGGGTTCGAAACAGCAGGTGCTTTTCTGCTGGACAGCCCCTCTCTCCAGCCCTGGAGCTGTCAAAAGCACAAGAAAACAAGAGAAGAGATGCATTTGAGTCCCCAACCCCAGCAAAGAAGGGGGTACTGCCACCGAAAGAGCAGCAAGACAGCAGCACGCCCTTCCTGCAAGGAGCCAGGAGCCCTGTCTTGCTCAGGATCCCACAGGAGACGTGGCAGAGGCTGGATCAGTCATCAAACCACACAGCACGCGTGCGCTGGCATGGACTTGATTATGTTTGCAAAGTGATATCACATATGCTGACATCTGAACATGCAAAATGACTGCAGAACACCATTCTCAGGGAGACTGCAACAGCCAGAAAGCATGTTTTACTGAGGAAATAAATCCTTTATATTGCCAGATGACATTCAATGGACTTAATTTTAAACCTAATCGGAATAAACTGGCATGTTAATCTACGAGAAGACTTGTCCATACTATGTCTGCATCTGGTAAATCATCATTTCAATGTCAGGAAAAGGAAAACAGTAATTTTTTCAGCACACTCTCTTAAGTAAGCTTAACATTGTCTTCCAAAATACTTGTTAGATACTGTAGCTGAAAGAAATTTTAGTGAGGCCTATAAAGTTTTAGGCAAGGTTTGTTTTGGATAAAGTACCTTAATTATTTAAAAGCTGACTTGAAGCATGAGATGTGAAAGAACAGAGAATCTACCAAAAAACCCACCCCAGTTAAAATACTAGGCTACAAAGAATCAATCATTTAAAAAAAACCCAAAAAAACCCAAAAAACCCCAAACAACTAAAAGGTCTCAGTACCTAGCTTCATTACTGCAAGAGTTATGAAAGTTCTCTATGGACCTCACAGACAGAGATGGATGAAAGAGATCCTCCTCTAGCTGCTTTTTGAAGACTTGTGTATACAAGTACTCAGTGAAGGCATCCAATATTTTGTTGAATAAATGAAAGAGAGGTAAGCATCAAATTCTTCAAATATTTTTTTCTGTTCTGCTCAAACAGTTTATTGCTCCAAGCACATCGCAAAAGCCTGAAGAGTAACCTGGAAGGTGGCAACTGCACACTAGCCACATTATCTGAAAGTTTCTTGAAAAAAGTTTTAAGTTACATAGTGAATAATACGTTATCCTGAAATAACTCTGGGGTCCAGGAAAGGCGATGAGCACTAACACTATCTTATTCTAAGCCCACAGAAGACCATGATCTACCACCACACCAAAGCAAAGCCTTTTTAACAGGGCTTACTGCGTCAACTACAAGCTTTCATATACAGCTTCCCTATGCTGCGTGTCTTCTCTGACCTCAAGAAAGTTTTGTATGAGGTGTGACACAGTCCCTCCTCCACCTCACATTTCTCCATATTCACAGATGTAACAGGAACATTTTATGGTTTTGCAAATTCAGCTACTGGGAAACCTAGATGCTTTTGAGTCATGCCCTCACTAATGGTAAAAGTTTCTGTAGACCAAATTGTGGCTTCAAGGAATTAACAAAACAGTTGGGTTTTTATAGTTAATTCTGCTAACACAGGCACACACTGCCCTTTGTTATACTTCCTAAGAATACAGTGGGTTTTCTCTTCCTTTTGTTTAATTCACATCTGCTGCTTCTAACATCCACCCCAACTCAGAATTAATATGAAAATGTGTGCATGGGAAGGGCGGGAGTGTCACAGGATCCTGCTGGTAGGAAAGATGAAGTTTTTAGTATGCAAAGATCAAGTCAAATCAGAGGGCCTACAAAAAGAAGTTTTCATCTTTATCATCCCTTCCACAATCTACACAATTCTTTAACTTATAACAGAAGGACAGTTTTTTGCTCAAGCTAGTCATGAAAGTGCTGTGAATTTCTTTATAATTGCCAAAAACCCCAAGCTGGTTAATTTCAGATACATAAACTTGTCAGAAAAACCTTTAAAAGGTTAACTGCCTCCCTCCTCAGAAAATCTGCTACTCCAGTTGATGCTTAATGAGAAACTTCTGTAAAAGATCCAACTCTAAAAATGTTTGGGTGACTCCCTCTTTTTTTCTTTGAAGTCCTTCTTGGAATGAAAAGGGAGAGCAACTCTCACCATCATGAGTCCAGGTTCAACAGTTACCAGTGAATCCTATAGCAAAAATAGCTATCCAAAGTAATTAGCAACTGTTAGCAGAATTTTGAGCGCAAATATTGACATTTTTGCCAATGAAGCGTGTGTATTTATCTTACCAGGGGTTAATATACATGCATGCTCACTTCTTAGAACAGATGCCCCTCCATGCACCCACAGCATTTAGTACTTGTCTGAAAATTTTCAGTTCAAGAAAATTTATTTTATTGTAAGGGATGAAGAGTCCAACTTACTTCAATTATTTTAGAAGTACATCTAATGATGTCAATCATTTGCTTAGAATAAGAAAAGAGAGCTAAGGTGAACTTACTATCTTAATTATGGCAGATTCCAGGAAAAGTTCTTTACATTTCAATATTAGAAGAGAACAACATAACCAACAATAGACTTGTAATATTAAGCTAAATCATTAGAAGTATGCAAAAAAAGAAAGAATGTTCAACATCTCCATCTGGATTTAAAAGCTCTACAGCTTAAAACAGCTGACTTCTAAAACAAATTCTGAAAGTATTTCTTTCAAGAGTAAGGGAAGAATCTTGTGCATTTTGTGAACCTCAACTGCCCTTTCTAAGCTATATTTTGGAAAGGCATAGAGAGACAAGTTGAAGACTTACTGGTATTCAGAAAACAGAACAGCAAACAAGTCACACCATGCAAAGCAAGAAAACTGTTAAATCCATGTGAGTAACACAATTCAGAACCTTCACTGAACCAAAAAAAAAATGTCCATGCATTTGTAATGCCTAATATGACATACAATTTCATGTATTTCTTGTTTAAGAACACTTAAACGGAAACATTTGAAAAAATTAATATTCTCTTGCATGGGTAAAATGCTAATACAGTTGAATTAAGAGTAAGAATATAAAAGCAAAATTTAGAAAGCTTTAACTAAAATAATCACTAAACTAGAGCTATTTTCAAGAGTTAAGAGCACATAGCTAGCAAAAATTTTCTTTTCAAATTCTCTATGTTTACCTCCTACCACACAAGTTCTGAGGCTTATTAAGACAGATCATCAGAAAAGACTCTGTGGTATCTGTAGCTCTTTGACCATCCCACCAAACCATCCAACTTGCATGGTAACTATATTGACAGATTCCCACTAGTCAGAAAAACATAGTTTAGATTTGTTATGCAACTCACCAGAGAAAAGCAAAAACAAAAGCACTGTAGCATTGTAAGTCTAAGCCCTGATAAAAGAGAAATGTTTCTCCTACACATACACGTAGGCAACCATAGTAAATAAGTTATTTTCAGCACAACATTAATTTTGAAAGCATCTCAAACCCTTACAGAATTGGTTCTTCTCTCAGTAGCCTATCTTTTTTTTAAACAGTTCACAGGTAATGTTCCTTTAAAATACTAATTCTATTCAACCTCACAACATCAACTGAACAACAACTACTAGACATTCAAGACAGGGGAGAAAAGGGAGAATTAAGGAGTTGCCCCATGGCAAAATCAGTCAAGTACTCATGTAGTTCAAATAATAATTCTGGTGTTTAGGTGATTTCTTTAATTACTGTTTTTACAGAGAATCCATGTCAGAACACTCAGAGAAGTACTATTTTCACAAATAATATTTTCAAATATCTTTCCATTGAAGGCACCTCATCCCCATTACAAGCAACAGATTTCTGAAACCTGTAATTCAAAAAAGTTATATTCCATTCTTTTGAAGAAAGGGCGAGTTTTTAGAAACATGAATACCTGATGATTCCTTTTATCAAAAGCTTCCACTGGAAACAGAAACAAATCACCTCAACAGGAGAAGTCTCTTTTGCCATAATAGCTTCTTGTTCTTTGAATGTCTCAGGCATGGATTCATTGCAAACCATCAACACCACAGACTTGCTCAAAGTAAATTGTAGGAAATATGAAAGAGTATATACATTTAACAAATTCTGTGGTTTATTGAAAATTATTGATTTACTATTCCTTAATCTGAAGTACACATTTCCATAACCAATGAGTGGATGATAAACAACCCAAAAATCTCTCAAACATAGTCAGTGAATATGTACGTATGTGTGTATGTATAAACATACCTTCAGTGTATGCAATGTAAGCAAAGTGTATGCTACTGGATAACACACAGATGGCTATACAAGTAGGATTTTTTAAGTTACCTTCACATCGAAATGCAAGTGACTCCAGTGACTTTCTACACACTGTGCAAAACTTTCTTTTGTAATGTCCTGGAGGCCCAAAACAGTGTGCAACTGGAACCTGCCAATGAAGAACGTACAAGACATCAACCACAACTTTCAAAGTGCCTATTACAATTCACAGAAACTGCTGTATCATACCAGACAGGACAGTATATACAGCATAAATTTAACTAAGCCTGAGAACAAATATAAAGTCAAATCATGCTTTTTAAAAATATTTGTATTAAAAATATATTTGAAATACTTAAAATAATTATTTTTTTAAAAAAAATCTTTCTTAAATTCTTGGGTTTTAATATATAATGCCTGTATTTTTAAGTGCCAGTCAGTTTCTCGATGATTTGCAGTGCCATGAATCCAAAGGTTTCCTTTGGGTACAGTGCTGTGCAACTTACCTGGAGTAACAGTTCCTCTCCTAAGTATTCTTAATTGAACTCAGGACGATTAAAGAGTAATAGTTGATATGTATACAAAAATACCCTAAAGACACACTAAAGACAATTTTTAAAGGCTCAGTGATGCCACATGCCTTTCACCTATTCCCTGAAAACAGCCCAGCCAACTGGCTGATCAGGATAAAGGCACTGGTTGTATGTGTGTCGTACACCCCCATCACCCCCCTCACCCACCCACAAGCTTCAAACCCAGAAAGGTACAGAGATCCAGCTCTTGAAGTACACCTATACTCAGGTTCCTGCCGACTGTAGGTGGAAGATGACACATTTCAATACCCTCTTGCCAAGAGCTATACCAACAGTTTTAGCAAATGTATTTCTAGTATACTATTCACTTATCCTAAAAAGTTAGAGTTTTATTCCTGTTTAGTGACTAACAACGAAAACAGAAAGTGACAGTACCAAAACAAACAGCAGAAGAAAAGATGAAAAATTAAGAATAAGAAACATACTTGAGCTTTATACTTGTTCTAGAGACCACTCTTCCTACAAGATGCCCACCTTTGTTAAACTGACATTCATATTAGAAGAATGAAGCATAACTGCATATTTAAAATTCTAGAATCCAAGTGACTTCCATAAAAGTTTGCCATGACTTAGGTATTTAGTATTATTCATCTCACATGTCCTTCCTGATACAACAAACATATCAGACTTATCTTCTAGTTCTTGCATCACAAAAAATAGGTATTTCTAGTAAAGGCTGATAAATGGTTATTTAGGTGTGAAATTAAATTAATCATTCCCAGTAAAAAGTTGGAAATGATGACTTAAGATATATATAGTCACAGATATCTTATTTTCCTCCTGGATGTACTAGTAAACAATCCTCTAAAGTTATTAAGCAGGATTTGAATTTTTCTCTTTGTATGTTAGGATTTTCCTGGGAATGACTAGCAGCAAATCTGAAACATACTGGGAACGCAGAATTTGATGACCGAGAAAGTCGCTTCCAGTTAGAAAGGTCTAATTCCCACCTGTGTTTCTGCCTCTAAAAGCGTGGGGACAGTTATACTAAACAATCCTGTATTGAGCATGCACAATGAAATAAGTGAGATAAAGTTTTGCCAGATACAACACACAGAAAAAGGAACACTGCTGGAAGTTTAATTAAGAAAAATCACTAATTCCCAAACTGCAAAGCATGTGGTTCCTCCAGTCCTCCTCAGAATTAATCTTTGAGAGTAAAGGAGGATGAAGAGAGGTACCAAATATGCCTGTGTTATCAGACATGAACAAGATCATGCACAGCAGTTGATTGATCAAGCAGTATCATCAGTTCACTGCCCCAGCAGACCACATTGTCTGGAGGAATCCTTGGCCCCTGACTGACCAGGAAACTGCGTGTCCAGATCCAGGCTCCCCACTACGCTGGGGCTGCCAGCCAGCCTGCCAAAAGGATTTCATATCAGTATCTTCAAGATGATATATTACAAAATATCCTTGCCTCCAAGAAAGCTTCAAATTTTCACTTTACATACAAGTTCAGGATTTAAAAATACAGACAAACCACCATGCTTTGGGGTCTGTCTCCCATCAAGACAAACAGAAATTTCATTCTCTTCAGCCCTCCAGCTCTGACACAAAGTTCATGGTTGGCTTGCATTATTCTATTATTTTTTTTAAATCAGGATACCTGAATCATATAATGCATACTTATATATAAAAAAAATATATCCTTGAAGGGGAGAAAAAAATTCCTAGAGATCCTGGGGAACTTTCATCAAACTATCTCAGATTAAGTTCAAGATTTATAATTTCTGCCCACTTTTCTTGCAATTTCCTGCTACTTCTTCAAAGGAAATGAAAAAACGTAACACACAAGTTACTTGGCTCGGCTATTCTTGACGTAAAGTGCCAGAGCTGTTTTCTCACTCTAGCTGTGCCAAAAAGAAAAGAAAAACCTAATCCCATCTTAGTGGGAGAAAGCCACTTGCCTGAAATCCAACTACACAATGAGTTCAAGTGCAGAAAGAGATAACGAGAATGGCTATGTGAGCACAATTCCAACCAGATACAGCAACTGTGAGGGCTACTGAAAACCCATGGTGGGATTTTTTTCAGTGAAGCTTTACTGCACATCCCAACCTGTCTTCAGGTTTGAAATGTCACCTTAAGTCCTCTGCCTGCTCTAGTCTCACCAGAGCTCCAGGCACAACAGAGCCACCCATCTCCAAGGCAGCAGTATTCCCCTTGAGATCACATAGAGAGGAGACTTTCTTTAGCTCTGGAGTGATGAATAACCTGCTCGGGACACTAGCATAATCATCTCAACTCCTCAGCAACCTGTGTTTGAAACTGTCCCAGTTCAGCTGGGATAGGGTTAAGTTTCCACAGCAGAGAGGGAGGGGGAAGGGATCTTCAGCCGGGTCTGGGCGCCGGCAGCACGGGAACTTTTTCCTTTGTGGCTTTGGTTGCGGGGAGCATGCGTGGCGGGCTGGCTGTGTCCATTGCGGTATTTCTCTGTATATCTTTTGTCTTGTTTACTGTTATTGTTGTTATCATTGCTACTGTTGTTGTTCAGATTGTTTATTACACTGTTGTATTAAATTTCTTCTTATTTTAACCCTAGGTTTGTGCCCTACTTGTGTCTGAGGGTGGGGGAGGGACAATGGCAACGTGGTCTCCAGTCCCGGCAGGGCCTAAACCACCACAGAAACACTTTTCTTTCCCTGGCCATAGAAATGAATGCTTTTCATTATTGTCACAGAAAGGTTCATCTGCAGAAAAAGGATCCTCTGTAGATCAAAAGATAAAAGTAGTTTTGTGAAAAACAGTATTTATTTGGGGAAAGACTGTGAGAAAGGACTTAGACAGGAGTCAAACTTATACAGGGTCTGACTGTACTTATCCAAAAGACTCACAAGGACACGAAGACTAAACTCTGCAGTTGTTCAGACCCTCATGACAATCCTCTTAAGTCTCAAGTCACTGCCAAAAAGAAGAGAAAAACTTGATGATTGAAATGTTGCATGGGGAAAAAAAAAAAAAAAAAAAAAAAGAAAAAAAAAAAAAAAAAAAAAATCTGTTCCTTCAACTTCTTTCTTTCTGGAATAAGCCAAAGAAATTTTATTATGAGTGGTCTTTCTAACTTGCTTTAGAAGTGATAGGTATAAAACCACTGCAGAACCCAGTGGGAAATGAGATAGGAATAAGATGGAGAAAGAGAAAAGATGAAGAGCAAATACAACATAACAAACTCATCATGTTTCTCTCTGCAGCTACCTACATTTCATTTGTTGCTGAACAAGTTCCAAGCACCCAATACATTAAAAAAAAAATCCAAACTCAGCATGTCAGAACATGAAATGTTACAAATTATTCTTTTATTTATATCCACCTGTATAAGTACAGCAAAGTACATACACATAAGGTGGCCTACAGAAAGTTAATAATTGATGAGAGTTTAAAACTGTTTTTCCAATACAACTACTTAAATTACTTTAGGAAAAGCACTAAAATTGATTTCTGCAGAAATATATAGAAAATTTCTGCTAGTAATATCATTAAACAACATCTTAAGTGCCCTGAGAGTATTGGTCAGAAGCCCAGTGAAAGAAAGTGTAGTGGTAACACAGCATAAACTCCAGAATGACTTTGCACTCATGGTCAAGATACTCCTAGCTCCTCTTTTGTTTCTTGCCATCTGTTAAAAAATGTAAAAGTTCATATCAGCCTGTAATAAAATTTGATCCCATAGAAACATAAAACTTAGATTTTTAACCCCTTCAGTGCAATCTGTGCATGTGCACATGAATTCTGCATCATACAGAAAGAACAGCAACAAACTAACCTTAACATCCAAACTTTGGAAGAAAAGGAAGGAATAGAATTGTTTTCTTTTGGTTGTGCCTTTTACAATTGTTCCTCATCCTGAAATGCCACTGGGCATCAAGCATCATGATAGACTGTGAATTTAAGTGCTCTTTCACTGAAATGGAATCACTACAGCAGCCCAGCTACAGCCAAACCCTCCGATTCATGTACAGAGTCAGGTCAGGCCAAGTCTTACTACTCTGCAACCTTCTGGATACCTCAGTAGGGAAAAGTACAGCTCCATGAAGGCCTATTCCTCACCCAGCTGCAGCTGCTTTTCTACCAGCTCAGGCAGAAGAAAGTTTTTAGCTTGAATCATGAGCCAAAGACTTCCAAGGCTGAAAAGGAAACGAGAGGAATATAAATACACCAAATGCCAGAGTGACAACGGCTGCCTTGGGCAGTCTTAAAAAAGAACAACCCACTGAAAACTTTTCCTAGGCCTGTGTCTGAATATTATTTTGCCCATTCATCTCCTTCTCTGTCACATCAGAGAGACTCGCACTTGGCAGGACTTTGTAAAACCTATTGGAGAGACTAAGAAAGCAGGACTGCAGGACCTACAGTAGTGTAGGGCTAATCAGCTTTCAACTAGGAAAGGGTACACATGAATAAGGATGCAAACACAAAATAGCCTCTAAAGGTTGAGCAAAAGGAATTTAACTTAAGGTCACTAGTTTTTTGTTCAAAAACACTGTGGCATTTTAAGGATAAGCACAACCAACTCGGAAGCAACCATCTTCATTAAATGCCCACAGGGGTCTGACAGGGTCTTTCAAAAAGACTG